TAAAAGTTGACCATTTGTAGTAGCACCTACCTGGCCATACTACTTGAACCTGATTATTAACAACAAATGCAGTCAAGTAATTCTGACTTGGTTTTCACTAATGTTTGGTTGTGCAGTTCACACAGGCAACTTAAGATGAGGTGTTATTTGTGATTCTTGGTCAACTGCATCAGAGAGAGTTTAATTTATGTTTATTTCTTTCCAAAACTGCTATGCTCCCACCCCCACTTTTGAGCTCATTCTGGCACTACAAATGAATTGCCCATAACCTGCTGACAGCCAGCAAGTTTGGCAGCTTCTGCAGAGTCCACGACCTTCCTAGAAGAAAACAGCTTGCTGTACAAGAGCACTGAATTTCTTAACTCAGGCAAGTGTTCCAAAGGAGTTCTCCAAGGTTAGACATGGATGACAGAAGACCACTTGAAAGTTAACAGTACCTCTGTAAATCAAGGTGTAAGCAGACTGTAAGTAGTCCAATATGATCCTTACCAGCAGCTGTGTGTTTTTCTGATTTAAAAGTAAATACTGACTATAGCAAGGAGGTCTGATACAGTGTGCCTGATTTCCTAAGGCTTACGTAAGTTTCTTCACCGTAGAAATAATCCCACACTGTTTTTAACATGTTCCTCACCTTGATATGATTGCTACTACTTCCATAGTTGGGTTATAGAGATGACAGTGGAGTATATGCTAACACTATTCTCTGTAGAGCCCATTAGCCCATTACACATATGGAGAACACAATGAGACATACCTGATGTGATCTAATACTCCTTTGAATCATTACTTGCACATATCTGGTTAGATCTGATTGTGTACCTGTTGTAAACATAAAATTAATGTGTCTTTACATACAGATAGTGGCAATAGCCATTAAAACACCTACCTTCCTGGGAGAGAGGCAAAGAAGGGCTTCCTAAACTTTAATGGAGATACAGAGCAAGTATGGAACACTTTTAAGTGCTGAAGAGAATAGAAGATCCTTTAACTAAAGGCAAGTGTCCAAAAGAGAATTAACAAGAATTTTAAAACAATCGTATAACCAATCTTTGTCTGAACAGGTGAGAAAGATATTATTCCTTAAAAACACCAACAAGGGTCTTAACAATATTCTTATTGTTTTACAATATTTTACAGTTCCAGAAAAAAACAACCAAAAAGATCACTGAATGGAGTAGCAGGAGATAGCAAGTTACCACTTAGCTTTTACAGGGGTGATGCAGAAATCTGTCTTCTGTTCTGACTGTTGTGTATGGCACCATATGCTGTGAATACTTTACAGCTTCTTTGAAGAGGACATAGCAGGACATCGGTGCTGTTTGTCATACAAACAAAGCCTTTTTGCTCCACACACTAAAATAATGGCAACAGTAGACTGTTGTCAGTAATTGAAATAGTGAACATATCTTCTGGATACTACTGCTCCTCCTGTGTGTTGATACAAACACCTTTACCGATGACCTAGACAGAAGGTATAGCTGAGTCCGTGTTCCTGGGCCCAGAAGGACTCTAACCAGGTAAAACTCAGAACGTTGTTTGCTTATAAACTGATGCTAACAGTTACCACTTCAAGAATAGTGTAACACTTTTTTGAAAGCTTCTTTTACAACTTGTGACAACAGCTGGTTTTTCCTAATCATCAATAGTATGAAAACCATAGACTGCACTGTTGCTGCCTACATGAGGGATGAGCTCCCTCCTGAAACACAGATTATTCAAAGTTTCACACTTCTTTATCAAAACCATGCTACTGTAGGACTGTTTTGAGCTGGAGAATCACTTGGAGGAGTGACTACAAAATGGCATTTGCCAAAAACCTCTTGAATTCTAATAAGTGTTTTTGTGGCATCACTCGGGGAGCAGCTGGCAAAAGCAGTCACCTTAAGCAATCTGGGAAGGTCACAGCTGAGGAAAATGGGGGTACAGGTTCCATATTTCTCTCACTGGGAAACTTATTGTTTCGTGTAAGCAAAGGCTGGTACTTAGGTGAGTGCAGTAGTGACAAGTTCTAGCTCATAGCTAGGTGGCCAGAGAACACATCCTCCATGTTCTCCCATCATATTAAAGTTGCTACTATTTTGATAAGTTTAACAGTATTCTCAAGTATATTGCAAAATGCCAATAAAGTAGCTCTAATGGCCCATCAGCCTGAATTTTTTAAAATTTTCAACTCCTCTATGGGAAAGTTGTAGCAAATACATATTCTTCACTTAATCTGTAGGGAACACTTTTGCCCACATTAATTTTTCCCTGTAATTTCCTTATTTTCTCTCCTGTGAGTGTAGTGTTTTCTCTATACTACTCTATTCTATCTAAAGAAATTATGCCAGACTAATAGCAGTCATCTGAGGGCTGTGCTAGATGTACAAGATGCAGTTTTTACATCTGCATTGATGTAAAATTGAGAAATTTTCTGCATTTTAGTTCTCAAATAAAAACTAGATTTATTCTGTAATCTCACTAGAAGCAGGCATCCAATCTACTGTTTTCAATCAAGTGACTCAGAGCATGGAACTGTGATTTCAGCAGGGCAAAAGGTGTGGCTGCACTTGGCCCACCCATGGGAATAGACTGGTGAGACTTCAGAGGGATGTCAGCTGCAGAGATGGCAGATCACAGACTACAGCACTCCTCCCGAGCAGTTAGCATGTGCTGTCCATCTAGGAACTGCTCAGAAGTGAGAAGGGACTCATGCACACAGGTCAGGTGCTTAGGGGCTTAAAGTTCTATCTGTTATCTCTCTTTGATTCTCTGTCTAAATGAATGGTCCTGTAAGGTGCCAGAGAAAGGAAGGTGAACAACAGTTTTTGAGCTTTTTGAGTTGGGTTTTGGTTTTCTTCCATCCCTGCATTGGTGCACCTTATCTAGATACAATTCATCAGTACTAACACTGGGGCAGCCTTAACATTTCTGTATCACTGCTGACTGTTCATATAACCTACCAATAAAAAGAGTGGGAAACGGAAGGGAAGGCTGTCAATATTATAAGAAGCTTATCAAATAGCAAAGCAGGAGGGGACATCTGGAGGGGAGAATCAACAATTATTATAAAAATAGGCTGCTTCCTTAACCAGGATGGAGAAAGATTTGACTCATTGCTGAACACATTACCACTGCTAAGTTTCTGGAGTAGAAAACACGACTTAAGAACTGAGAACTTCAAGAAAACAGGTTGGGACATGATAAAAGGAAAAGTTGAATAATCAGAGTAGTGAAAATGGCATGATTTACAGCTTATGATTATTAACTTTTTAAAATTAAAAAACCTCCTGAGTAATAATAACTAAGTTACAGAACAAGATCTTTAGAAATAAATTCATCTGGGACAAAGGCAAACAAAAATACTTTAGGTTACATTAAATAAAATAGCATCCCAGATTGAAAAATGAAAATAATTGATTCCAAAGGAAGTGAAAAGCAGTTACAAAAAATGCAGAATTAGAGTTCTAAATGTTCAATAAGTAATCCAGAAGAGGCCTCTTCTTTTAATACTGTATGCCTTATATTGGTTATTGAATGAACTAAGGAAGAATCCAAAAATCAACAGGTTAGTAAACATGGAGGTCAAAGTGAGCTGAGCAGGAATGCTTACCGGTGTAATAATATGTAGAATTAAAGATAAAAATTATGTTTTCAGTTGAGAGACTTTTTAATCAGTCCAATCAATGGTACCTCAACAGTAGATGTGTTATCTGATGCTTTAGTACTTTGAACTGTTTTTAGCTTATGCTATGCTTGGAGGAATTCCTGACTTTTTTTCTTGCATGCTCTTAAGTATAATTTCCCTTTCATAACAACTGAAATGGAAACCAATTATGTAGCAATTGCAAAACTTAAGATAGGCATCTTAACATCTGTGTATCTTAAGCTTTGCAAACATACAAGAGTTGAAATGTATTACTTTTTGCCATGATGCAAGATCTGTTTTTATGTTAGATAGCAAAACTTGCTACAGTTGTAACTTGCATGCTGTTCCAGTTCATAATCAGATACCTTAGCTCCTTCAAATACCCTACAAAATGTTATTTGGCAGTGGTAGAGATAGATTTCCCTGAAAAATGACCTGATTGTGTACTTAGATAATCACAAACCTGCTTGGACAGTAGAGATCCAGTTTGCAGCAGCTGTGAGCAGTATGTGGGTACAAGTCAAGTGTTAACAGATGTGCCAGAGCAGCGTCAGTCAGATCTGTTACACTTTAAGTTTAATGAATACTAGAAGAACTGAGCAGCACCTTTTTACATTTCTAACCAATAAATGAGGTGCTGGGGGATCAGAAAGCAAATGACACACTAGCTCTCCAAGGCTCTAGACTGTTCTTTGGCCAGTGTTGAAGACCAGACTACTCTGTTAGAGGGACCACTCAGTCTGACCACTAAATACTTGTGTTCTTCATTCCTGCCTGCCAGCAGAAGATAAGAATCAAACCCTTGGACTGCTGCTTTCCTGCATGACAAGAATGGTACCTCTATTGCAGTGATATCCAACCAGCTGAGAAAGTGAATTTAGTAAGTCATTACTTACTAAGCCTCTGCAGGCCTTGGGATTAGTAGGAAACAAACAGATTCAAAAACATTTGTTCAGTTTCAGCTTCTGTTCTGTGCTCAAAGCTTAGGACTAAACCATACAGCCTGCTGAAGAAGTATTAATTTGTCTACTCTTTTTGACTGGTGGAACATTAGAAATCAGAAGGAATTAGTTTAATCTTGTCACTAATTCTTCTCCTGCACACACAAAAATATATAGGCTCATAAACAAAGACACAATGTACAGCATTTGATAGCACTATTTACAGACAGCAGCTCATGTCCATGAGTCAAGATTTTTCTCATAAACATATAGTTTTGCCTAATCCAATTTATTAGCGAAGCAAATCAATTTAGTAAAGGTATAGGGCACTACAGACATCTCAGACATTACAGTTTAGTAAAGATGAAATGTTCTAGAGAAGTCATCTTTCCATCCGCCTTCTCTGTGATGATTTTAAATATACAAAAGAGTTCATAATGAGCTCTACCCTTTATTACTTAAAAATCAATCTTTTCAAATGTTCAGTGCAGGCATGCTTTTTATCTATTATCTTATTGCTTAGAAGAACTTAATTGCAAAAGTATAGGCAATATAAATCAGTATTTAAATTATATATTACATGTTTATTATGGGTGCAAATTTTTAAAATTTACATTTTATGAAAATTCAGAGTATTTACAATTTTTGAAAGATAAACTTGTATGTTCTAATTTACAGTCTAACGTAGTAACAATTCATAAAAATTCAGATCCTTTAGAGTTGTGTTTAAAAATTAATTTTCTTAGGAGGCAGCTACAAGGGACATTGCTGTGTACACAAGCAAGAACCAGCTTGCTATGTAAGTTTTTTTTATTTTAAATCAGATAGCTACACATACTTTTTACATTGTTTTTGAGTTTCTTTACAAAATGTCTATATAAACTTGTATGGCTTCAAAATTGTAACCTGCACCCAAAGCAAATGTATAAAAAACATCTGAATGAAGGCTAGTTTAAAAGTGCTGAAACATTAACTACTTCATTTATTGTAGAAATTAATGTAATACTTGATTAAAAATAGCAACAATAGATTTGGGTTTTCATTAATAAAATATTGTTGTGTTAATCAGTTTGATTGTAAAGCAGGTTACAATTAAAATTCCAATAAAAAGACCACCATTTTATGAGTTGTAAATTTATCATCCATAAGATTAGCAAAATATAGGAGCCAAATCTTCCAATCAAATCTACAGTATACTACGTTCTTAGTACTAACAATGAAACTCTCACCGGCAAAAGTGTCTAGTGTACACGACAATTTATACAGCTTCTACAAAGGCATAATTTCTTGTAAAGCTTCAGCAGTCCAATTCATTACTGGTTTTGCATGAATTAACTCAAGCATGTTTCACTGTTTTAATAGAGAATTTGAAATAGATACTGGTATGCTAAATGTTCATTTGAAATTGCCACATGCAGGTTATTGAATTATTTTGCCCCAATGCTTATGATTTCAACATTACAAAAAAAGCTTGGTAATACAAATACATAGAAAATTTTCTAAATTAGTGACTTGCTTAAAAAATTGTTACTCGTGTCAATTCCCTGTAGCAATTCCTTAGGCTGTAGCAAGCATATTAGATTACAATACAAATATTAAAACTGATAGCTATAAAAAAATGAACATGACAGGATTTATCATCCTGCAGCTATAAAATATCCTTTACAATGCCTCCTGAAGTACTATGTGTACATTCACATCACACATCCCCAAATCCACTCAAAGTTGAAGACTTATAGCTAAAGCAAAGAGTAATGCTGTTTGCTTTTAGAAGTTTGTTTTTCTATTGTCACTGATTTTTCAGATTCTCCTCTTTGGTGACATTAAAATTAGTTAATAAAAAAGTTTCTGAGTACTGCATGATGCAGCTCCCTTTACTAAAACCACATGTAATTGCAATTATTCCTTGAGGAAATAATTCAGTGTTTTAAATTTCTTTTAAAACAAACTACAGTTTTTGCAAACCTGCTGTCTGAATAAATTGCAGTAAAAAGAATTTTTATAAAGTTCTGTGCATAATACAAACGCCATGCTTTTGATGAAGAGCCAAACTTTGTAAAAGGAAGTGAGGCACATGAGTATCAAATTGAATAGGCACAGGCATTTTTAAAAGGCACAAAAGTTATGCAATTAATATAAAAATAAATTAAATCTACTGCATTAACTCAAACAATAACAAGGCCCAAAAAATTTTACTAACGGCAGAAGTAAATCTCTGCTGTGTTTTGCAATTTGTAATGCATTGCACTTAGTTAAACAAAACCCTATATGAAACAACTTACATTTTAATAATATATGATACATGGGCATCAAATTACTTTTATACATCTCTAACTCAGCTGGTCTTGTGGTATGAATGAAAAGAAGAGCTACACAAGACACAGCCTCTGCTATCTTTATAAACTGTCAATTAAAAGCTGGCAATTAAAGAATCTGAAAAATGAGTATTACTTATGAAAAGCTCAAATATTTCTTACTAGATCTCCTACATTTTAATGTTTACAGTACAACATAAAATTTCATACTTCCATTTCAACTGTGGATTACTATTTTGACTTCCTCTATATAAAGTTACTAATTTTTCAACAAATTTTCCCAAGTATTGCAGTTGATCATTTACAGACAGTGTTGAAGTTAACTTCAGTGCTATTGTAAAGTAATAAAGTTTTCAAAATGACTCTTAAAAGTGCATTTACTTTCTGTAGTTTAGCCTCAAAGTAAGTAAATATTTTTAAAAATTAATGCATGTTAAAATAGTGTTTGAAAAATAGAGAGGGCAGAGTTCCTATTGTCACAAGTGTTTCTTGCACTCCTGATCCAATGACTTTCACAGGTACATCAACAGTCTGCCATATATCGTCCTGGAAAACAAAGATAAGTTTTTTGCAGTCAATAAATCATCCAGATTTTGTCTATATTTTCCTTGGAGCAGTCTGAATAACTACAGAAAAACAAACTAACTTGTCAGAAGTGTTTCAATAAAGAGTAACTATTTATAAATCACTCATTTAACAGTTTCATTTTTTAGAATTTAACACTAGAGAATATATAACATTAGTTTGAATATATAAGCATGTTAATGTCTTACCAGTGGCAAATCTCTTCTTAAGAAGGGAAAGCCGATAGCCAGTGCCTACGAGTTCCACATCTGCTCCTGAAAGGGTGCTTCCTTCACTGATGAATTGCACTGCAAGTGTTGCTGGTTTACTGGGTCCTCCTGAAAGCTCAAATTTTGCCCTAAGGGATCCAGAACCTATAAAAGCAACAAAACTGAGAAGCCGATTGTTTTGCAAAACAAAATGATCTCTCCAAATTTTTAGTAGTAAGAAGTGAAACTAATACGGTGACCTTTGAGATCTGTTGCCAGCAGCAGTCCTACATATGCTTTCAATAGAGGTAAGAGTACAAGTCTGTTTTTTCCAATAGTCTGTTTAAGACAATGACTAGTGAATGATTTAAACAGAAAGAATACAAATTTCTGCAAGATTATCCAAACTGGGGGTATCAGCCTGGTAATCACTTACTATTTATCTGATTGGTCTCTAAAATAATTTATGCTTGCTGGTCTCCAAGTACTTACTACCATCTCTCTTGTGGTAGATGGTATCTGATTAATAGATAGGAAGTACTATCTGCCTTTCACTAGCAGAACATTTAAGAGTTGTCATGATCTATCTGGATGAAAGTACATGAACAAAAACATTGAAAGAAATGCAGTTTTACAGTAATGTACCCAGAGGAAAGAAATTACTATGTTTCCACTAAAGACAAGGTCTGATTAAATACTTCTCACAAATTTCAGTTGATTTTTTCAGAGACAGTGGTGAAGTGGCATCTCTTTGATAGTATTGTAAAGCAATAATAGTTTAAAATTACTTTAAGTACATTTCTGTAGGCAATGAAAGGCGTTTTCAAAACCCACACATTGCTACTACTTTTTAGTTTTAAAACAGGTCTTTTCTTGCTCTTGTGAAGTGTGTTGGGAAAATGAGATTTAAAATAATATTAATGGAATAATTTTACTTTAGAACAGCTTGCTTTCCTATCAATAAGAACTGCTAAATTACAAGGAAAGTTAGTAACTGAAATGGTACTGAGCTAAAAGCAGGCGCTAAAAGAAATGGTTTCACAAAGTGGCTTGCTTTTGATAAATTTAGCTTAAGATCAATTTAATTTCTTCAGTAGGTCTGCCTAATTTCAGTAAACTGGAAATTCTTTCTATTCTAACTATGGAAACTCATATATTCAAGTGCTTTGAAAGTTTTTTCTGTGTTTTATCTCTCTCCAGCTGACAGATCGCATAATGTGTTGGACCATAAAAAGCCCCCTAAAATTTTATCATGCTGTCCACCAGGAGAAGAGACTTGAAGACACTTGTCCTGACATTGACAGTGTCTGTGCACTTCTCCCTTTGCTTCTGTAAGTGCAGGATCAGCACAATATTGCTTCCTCCTGAACTGGGAGTACTATAAATGTTTATACTCAAAGAAAAGGAGAGGAAAAGATGGTGGGAAGAGGAATACAGCAGAAGTAGTGGGATATGTGCAAGTCTGCTGTCAACACACAAGATGCAAACTGGATCACTCGCAGTCCATTCTGTGCTGTTCTGCAGGTGTAAAATTCCTCCTTATCTGGCTACATTTGTGTTTCAGTATGATTTTTCATTTTAAAAGAAGCCTCAAAGTTCAGAAAAGGGAGGACAAAAAAGAAGAGAGCTAATCCATTGTAGTGAAGACAAATGGCAAAGAACTGTGAGGTTAGTGAAAGACAAAGTACACCAGACTAGAGTAATCACCTGTGTTCAATTAAAATTCTCCCTGATTTTGTTTGAATGATAACCAAAACTTTGCAGCCTTTTCAGGAATAGAAGTTGTCTTTTCCCATGCTTGTGGCTTCTATATGAAACCAGTCATATTTACAGGCAAATCTGTAATTTCACAATCCTCTTCACTAAATTCTTAACAGGCTGTTCATTTCTCCACAGAGGCTTTGAGGATGAGATGCTTTGGCTGCTCTACTACTTCAGGAAAATGCTGCACCTGCCGAGACTGCAGGGGTTGTGACATCAACCACAGCTCAGAGAAAGGCACTGGGCAGAGGACAACTATTGGTACCTTATGCAATATTGTATAAATTACCACTCTGAGCAGATGTGCACTGTTTAAGTCTTTTCCTAGAGTTATTATGGTCAAAACCAAGAGTCAAAATGTTGGTCAAGAATAAAATATCTCAACTCAGAACTTTTGGATTTGTTTTTTTCCTACCCGCAGTTCTTCCACTTACTTCCTTCTAATGTATTTAAATTATCTATGTGTGGAAAGACACAGATATTAAACCTATTTTCATTTGAGTAACTGCTCATTTCCAAATTGCATTAATGCAAAAATTTCCTATTCTATCTAAACTCTAAATTTTAGAACTACTAACTGTTTTCAGGGTACTTCATTATTTTCCCTTATATAGCTAATAATGAAATTTATATTTTGACATCTCACTCATAATGGAATCTCTCAGGAGTCAATTAATTGAAAAGAAGATGAACTAGTAAAGAGGTTACAGCATAACAAAATGTGTAAAAAGGAAGCAGAGGCTAGAATGATCACCTGTTTACTGATAAAAATTGTCTGTACAGGAAAGCAAAACAAAAGAGTTCAACTTGCCTCCATTCTCAGACTTCTCTGAAATACTAGATATTTTCCAACATGCTTTCATCTGGTCTGCATTCCTGTAAGAGAACAGTAGGTTAGTTACAACTACTGTGTTTAGAACTTTATTTTCCCTGATTTACACTGGTATATTACATCTCTAAATGGAAGCCTATAAAAATATTTGCATATTTTAAGGTAAGTCTGTGGAAAACTACAGGAGGAAAAGAGGAAAAGAGAAGGGTGTGTCTGCATCACTCCAGAGCAGTGAGCTCAGAAGAACACACTCCATTACACATTTTATACAGTAATTTTTTACACATTTAACGCTGTCCTGTGTCCCCATCTATGGCTCCAAAATTCAAACCTCTCTGCAGTCTTAAAGGGTAAGTTACTCTGGAAGCAGTCTGGAAGCTATGCCTTGGTGCTTCGTGAAGGTAGAATGGAGGGCAATGTTGATTGCTCTCTCCTAAGTGAGAGTCCTGAGAGCATGAATTTTATTAAATTTTCATTCTATTAAAACTAACTGTCATCAGTAACACTCTGTTCAAGCTAACTTCAGACACTGTAAAGGGGCAGAAAAGGGTACCAAGAGTTGACAGAGCATTTTAACTCCTGGAGGAGTTTCTAGCAGTTGCATTAGAGGAAAGTCAACAATTTAAAGCTGTGAGCAGCATGAAGTGCTGATAGGTTTGAAATTGCTCTTGCCATTAAGGTAGCAGGATTAAGGTAGCAGGACTGAAATGCTCACATAAGTAGCACATATGGTAGCATTTACTCACAGGAAGTCAAGCTATAGAGACCTCTTTTCCTAAAACAAGACCAAAACCCCACCACCCGATCCACTACATGGAACAGGTAGTATATCACAAATGTTATACCTGCCTGGGACATAACTGAATTTTTCTTCTTCGGTCAGCTTGCCAGGCTCAAAATTCTGAGTCTTGAAAGTTGCCTATGTGAATTCACCAATGCAACTGTCCCTAAGCCTTCTCAGCTAACACTGAGTGTTCTGGATGGGTGTCCCTGCTTTCATTATGGGTGTCTGGCTTCATTACAGAGGGTTTGTGGAAGAAGCCTGGGCACAGAGACTACTTTCACCACTGTGTAGTTGTGTTGTTCAGATAGGATACTAAACATGTTCTTGTTCAAAATAAGTGTACAATTTGGTTAAAAGTACAGTTTCCTTGAAATACCAAGTTAAGAAGGATTCAATCCTGTAAGGAATTTTTTCCACTTAAAACTATACTGTATTACTACATTGTCCAATAAACACCGATAAGTGTATTGCTTACAGAAACATCAGAATCTATCCAATAAATGCATCATGTTTCTTTTTCTTTTAAACCTTGCTTTGTAAGGTAAACTGATCCGTAAGAAACAAAGTTAACAAAGCCTAAGTTCCTTCAAATTGGTGTACTCTGCCCTCTTCACATTAAAAATACCATTTTGGGAATAAATAGTCCAGGATTTATGTTACAGCTGGGCAAGTATGTACATGCTGTACAGGCACAGTGATTGAATTCTGTTCACATTTGCTCCAGGGCTGTACAATGTCTAGTCTCACTACCCCCTGCTTGTTTCCAGAAATTTGTAACATAATTTTCTACTACCTATGTCACACTTTGAAGTGCTGCTGAAAATGGAAGGTGTTGGCAGGTAGTTGCTAGTCTAATAATCTTCATGACACTTAAATTGAGAGATAGTGCTACCTGGCTTATGGAGAGCTCCTCAGTTACTCCAGTTTGTTTTATAACTATTTCCATTATAAGTTAATTTTTATGTCAGAACGATCAGGACATTTTTTAAAAACCTGCCTTTCTACAAAACTGTTTCTATATAATCCCCTTACAAGAATACATTGTTACACAAAGAGATAAAATGTTTTTCAACCATTTCAAATTACTGTATTAAAATTGTCTGTTCTATCACAAAAAAGAAAGTAAACATTGGAAAATTCATAAAGGCTGGTATTATTACACAGCTGGGATGGGTACTCACTGACTATTTCAGTTTATGTGAATTGGTGGCACATGATCTCTGTTTTAGACCACAAAATATCTAGACATCTGATAATACAGATTTTGCTATTTCTTCCTGTGAAATTTTTCAGGCTATGACACTAAATAATACACTGAAATGTATCTGAAAAAAATACTGAAAATAATTAATATTACCATTTTGCAGGTGGAAGTGATTGCATGTTTATTACTCCTCCATCTACTGGTACCACAACCTGGACATTAGACAGCATACTAGGCACATTCATAGACTCTGGATTGTATTTATAATCCACTCTCACATCAGTAGTGCTAGCATCACATTTCCAGTAAGTTGCAAGATTTAAGGGAGTGGACTGTATGCCATTTGAAGATACCTGTAAAAGAATAAACCATTGGAAACAATTAAAATATCCACCTTTTGGGCAGAATTAGGAGATGATGGTAATTAGGATAAGTCTCAATGCTGACAAGATATCAAGAGAACAGCTGACCTCTGAGTCCTTAATCACAGAATTCTGAAGACTGTTGCCAAAAGGAATTCCTGTTATTTTAATTTTAAATTAAAATACTTGCAGAAAAGGCTTGAACTCCTTCTGGCCTATGAGGCTCCTTACGGCTCTTTTATAACTTTTTTGTAAGGTTTGTTTTTGTTGCATTCTGCCTTATGCAAGATGCATGCTTGCAGCAAAATGACTTCATTCTTAGCAGCTGTGTGCTGTGCCAATTCAGCTGCCCAACCAGCCAGCACCAGAGAACACCACCTGTCATTGTGGGACAGGCAGCCAGCAGAATAGTTCTTACCTCTTCAAAGTATTATTTTCCTGCTGCAGGAGGGCTGAATGCTGCTTCTGCAGCTGAGCTCATTCTACTGTGCTGATGCACCTCAACCACCTTCTCAATCTATCTGAGGAAACTTCTGTGTCCTGGTGCACACTCTTGCCTTTTTTGGCCAAAGCCCAAAACTTTTTTTATTTGTCTGGGCTTCCATGCGGCAATGCCTCATTCTTATAAGAATACACAGTACTCATTTCAGCAAACCAAATGCTTTTTTCCTCCCACCCTTTCCTCAAGAAATCTGTGTGCTTAACATGGTTTTTGCAGGTTCAGTATGCCAGGATTTTAAACCACACTAGGCAGATGTGGAAACTACAGGTATGAACAGCTGGACGGACAGGTAATTTTCAGGGTTTTTTGTTGTGCAGACAGTTATCTCAGATGTTCAGACATTTCAAGGCAGGCCTAGAAAATCTCTGCTCTCCCTCTGAGGTGAGTATGTCCTGAATATTCGTGAAGGCTTTTCATTAACAGCCAGAACATCATCTCATTGATGCACCACATGGCTGAAGTTGACAAGACCTCCTGGAGGCCGTCTGGTCCAATCCTCCAGCTCACGCAGGCTGCCTAAGCTCCAGACAACTTCTGAACATTTCCACGAATGGAGACTCCACTACCCCTCTAGGCAGTGCCCAGTGCTTAGCCACTGTCACAGGCAAAATAGCGGTTCTGGCTGTTCAAAGGGAATTTCCTGTGATTCAGCCTGTGTCCACTGCCTCTGATTCTGACACTGGGCATCAGTGAAAACAGCTTGGCTCTGTCATCTCTTGCCCTCTCTCAGGTATTTATACATATTGATGAGATTTCCCTGAATTTTTCCTTTTCCAGGCTTGGAGTCCCAACACACTTGGGCTTTCTTCATGGGACAGATACTCCAGTCCCATCATCATCTTTGTGGCCCTTTGCTGAACTCTATCCAGTCTCATTAGCAATGAATCCAGAACTGAACACAGCACCCTAGGTGTGGTGTTACCAACATTGAGTGGAAGGATCCCCTCCCTTCATTTACTAGCAATACCTTGCCTAATGCAGGTTAGGAGAGCATTCAGGAAATCATCTACTGCCTTTACAGCATGAACAGCAGGTTGTTTGGCTCATGTTCAACATGATAACCCACAGGACCCTCAGGACCTTTTCTGCCAAGATCATTTCCACTTGGTTTCCCCAAGTGTGCTTCTTGTTGAACTTTGTAAGGTTCCTCTCAGCCTATTTCTGCAGCCTGTTGAGCCTCCTTAGGAAGGCAAAATAATCCTATGGTGTATCCCAAGGGCCATCCCCATTTGGTATCATCAGCAAACTTGCCTAGGATTAGTACACTCTGTCCCCTCATTCAGATCATTAATGAAGCTATTAAACTGCAAAATCAATATGTGCCCTGGGGGTCAGTTCACCTCACTGTCTGCTCATCCAGCCCGTTCTTCACCAGCATCTCTATACAGATTCTATGGTAGATGGCGTGGAAAGGCATCCTGAAGTCTGAGCAGACAATATCTACTGCTCTACCCTCATCCACAGGGACAGTCATGTCACCACAGAAGTTTGTCAGCTTGGTCAAGCCTGACTTACACTCAGTAAATCCATTCTGACTACTGTGATATTTCTCATTGTGAGAAATCAGAATGTCAGACATTCTCAGATTGAATCACAGAATGGTTTGGGTTGGGAGGGACCTTAAAAATAATATAGTTACAACCCACCCTCAACGGGGGCACAGAAAACTCTCAGTAGACCAGCTTGCTCCTAGCCCTACACAGTCTGGCCTTGAACACTGCCAGGGATAGATGTTGCATACAAAACTTCTCTGGGCAACTTGTGCCAGTGACTCACCACCCTCTGAGTAAATAATTTTTTCTTAATATCTAATCTAAACCTCTCTTTCAACTGCAAGCCAGAACCATGCATTAAAATTCATCAGTGACACAATCCAAAACTTAGGCAATTGCAAAATCAAAGACAGTACAAGTACAAATGATAAGAAGTTCACATCAAATCTCTTAAAGAAGAATTTGACTTTGCTGACAAATATAAAAAAAAAAAGCAGTGTTTGAAGCTTGCTTGTAGGATTGACCTGAAGCATTAGCAAGCTGAAACAAGCCCTGTATCTTAAGGAATGACATGAAGCATAGCAGCAATATGCTAAGCCTGGGCAGAGCCTACATGTTCTAAGTAGAGTGATAGTCAGAACTGGTCTAGATGAGGGATGACAGTTCACCTCCATGCTGGCAGACAAAGAATAATTATTTTAATTTCTGAGTTTATATATATAAAATATCTGCTGAAATTCCTTAAAAATTGCAAAAGGATAAAAGTGTTTACCTGATACTTTAAAACATCCACGTTATAATAGGATGCAGATGGATTCTGCTCTGATAATTTCTTGAGGTAGACAGTTATAGCTTGCATGTTCATCCAAAAGTCCTTAGTACTGGAGTCACTTTGTGACTGATCACTACAAAGAAAGACCATTAATTAGGGGTGAAATATTAAACCAGTCATTCAAGAATACCAGATATTTTAACCTGTTTTTGCAAAATATGCTTTTTCAGTATAATTCACTTTGTCAGATACATCTCTGGTAACATTTCAGTTATAAACTGTCATGTGAAACAGTGATTAAACTTGATTTTGTATGAATTATTAATTACATTAAGTATGAACTAACAAAATGAAATTGAATACAAGAGTACGTGCATATGGTCTGATTTATTATTTCAGTAATTAAAAAAAATACAGCATTAAAAAATATTTGGCTTAGCATTCAAATAATTTCTCTAATAAATGAAATAAAAACTGCTCAACTTAAATGGACTTCTGCTAAAAAAATTCCAGCTCTTCTATTATTTTTAAGAAACTGTATCTCCAAGTGCAATTTCAACACTTGAGTGCTGATCCTACTCAATCAGCAACCTTTTTTTCCTACAAATTCTTCCAAGCATGTTGCAACACATCTGAGAGATAGTTATGTAAAGAATCTGATTGTAATAATTTGGCTTTAAAATATACTAGTAGATGGCAAATGAGATTACAGTAATCTCCTACTAATTATTTTCCATTTAAACTTACTATTTCATAATTTAGTTTTACGATTATTACTACTGTGTAAAGAAATTATTTATAAAATGCATATGAAAACACAGACACATTTACAAATCTTTTTCATGGCTCCTGTTTATACTCAGCACAAATTTTAAGTCCAGTAATCACTGAGATTTTTAATAGTGGCAGTGGAGAGAACTAAACTGAGCAAAATTAATTCAGAAAATTAAATTGTATGTAATACAATCAACCAGAGTGCAAAGAATTCTGATTTACATACACAACAATTCTACAAATTATGTAGCTTACAATTATGTTAAAAAAATATAAAACCTGTATACAAGTTGTGCATTTGGAAGAATCTGCTCTAGTTTGCTTGTGTTTTTCACCCTGAAGCAGAGCACAGCAGGAGATGGGTTGCTGGTGAATACTTTAATAATCCCACTTGGGAATGATATTGTCATATCACCAGTAATCTTCACAATGCATCTAGAAGAGAATAAAAAATCAGCTTCATTGCAACTCATTAACTGCCTAATTTTAAAGCAACCACTGTAATTTCACAATCTTATTAAGTGAATTTAAAAGAGAAAATCAATCTCAAATGAAGGCAATATGACTATGTACTGCCACTTTCAGCTTGGAAGTAAGATGAAATAAGAAATAAAAAATTTTAACTGCTTAAGCATACAGTAGTCTTGGATATTTTTCAAGCTTTGGAAACATGGCAATGGCTCTGCCTAGGCAAGGCCTAAGTAGCATAGCAATGGATGTCACAGGGAACGAAGTGCTTTCAGTTGCACAAAATTACATGTTATACCTACCTGACAATGATAAAAATCCTTGTCATTCTCAGTGCTGTCACTGAACACATTTGTGTAAAGCAGGTATATATGAACTCCTGGCAGGCCCTTACAGACCAATAAGCCCCATTCATACCGAGGGAAAAAAACCCCTTTGAATTCCCCTTCTAATGCATACTCATTCCCCTCCCCCAGTATGAAAAATAGACCCATTGTCTTTTCTCAATACATTCAACACAATTCACTATTTAACTAACTTTGTGGGATCTGCTCCTTTAAAGTAGGCGTTAACAGATTCAGTAAGAGCTACTGCAACAGGCAAGGTGTCCTGGTTTCCAAGGCTGACGGGGCTGGGACCACGTGAAACACCTAGAATACATACAGTGTATAAATTTAATTTTCAAAAAGCTAGTAGATTTCAGAATGGTTGACTACATCTGTAATTTTCACAAGAGTTTACACCAACATCACAGTCTCAACTGAGGTATTACTTGTAAAGTGCGTAGAAATAGATAAACATAGTACAGTACAATAGTACCACCAAAACGCTGCTCAGCAGCATAAGAACATAGGAATGACTATTGCTATGACATTATGTAAACAGACAGAAGGAAATACATGAGACAGAGGAACACTGCAGTAAAATGGCTACTGGTGGGGGTGAAGTCAACAGACCCAAAGCAAATTGACTAGAATGCTTTAAAAAAAATCCCTACTGTATGCTTTTTTGTATGGAAAAATGCATGATAAAACAGTCACAGAAATACAAGGAATTCACTTACAGTAAAAATGAACTTAAATGCAAATTCATCAATATTACCCCACATAAGTGAACTGTTTAACATTCTTTTAACATTTTCAGCCAACAAACACTGCAATTCCCAAGCAGAAATTGTTGGACAAGTCTTCACTTGTTGCTCGTGCCAACACAACACAATTCCAATATAGAGCTATATCAACCAAGACCTCATGTGAAGGCTTTTTGAAATGTGCATACACAGTTTATATAAGAAGATTGTCATACGATTTCATTTTTCACAAATTTTCTACATGTGTATGTAATACAAAAGACACTATTGGAAGTTTCTTTTTTCTTAGTGCAGCAGTGTAGTAGATAGCATCTTATGTTTTTTGTATCATGAAGAAATTGTCTGTATCACATAGTATTACCTATCACAAAGGAGGAACAGTCTTTATCTTTTCATAAGATAATTGAAGCAATTCATAAGCAAATTGAAAAATTTCTCTTTCATACCACAAAGCAGAGACAAAATGCTTCTGTCTAATATTGCCCATGGCAAACTAAACCTATTTACTCCAAGTGGCTGTCCCTTCTGAGCGCTTTCAGAAGTAAAAAGGAAGTTGGGACCTTGCTTTTCACAGAGCACCTAATATCTCATATTAGACCTTAAATGAAGAGATAAGTGAATGAAGTAGTGACAGAAAGACAGTCAAAGACAGGAGCTGGTCTAATTCTACTACCTCATACAATTACCTATACCTCTGCTACCTGTACAATTATCTATACCTCTATTACAATTTCCCACATAAGGTAGTAAAATGTTCAGAATGCTTCTCAGTGCCATGAAAACATTTGTGCAACACTTAGGCCTCCTTAGATCCAACAGATCTAGTCAAAAGTCTTCAAAACCAAAAATTCTTAAATGAACTAATTATTATGATTCTGGCTAAAAAACACTGTTTATTCTTTTCTTTTTCAGTAGGTTGTTTTTCTTCATTCTTTCAGACAATACATGGATCAAGATTCCTAAGTTTTTTCTCTCCCTAAAAACTACCAACAAAAAGCTGTGTATGACAATCCAGGACACTGTGATTCTCAATAGTCTCAGGAATCCAGAAACCATTATTTCAAGAGGCAAATGTATGGTAAAACAATGACTTGTCAATTACTTGAAATTCTGTTTAGTGAAATACTGAACTGCAGAATTATTCTTCACTAAAACCAAATGTGTCCCTACAGTTGCTGAGCTGTTTTAATGTCTTTTTCTGCCAATTTAGTAAGGAAGAGCAAACAACTGTAGAGCAAACAGGATTAACTTGTATACAGGTCTATCAATTATTTTAAAATCATTTTACTTAAAGGCCCTATGTACATTTTTATAGCAATATTTAAAAAATTATGCACAGTAATGCAAACATATACTTTACATTCCTGTTGGTAAAAGAAAAATACTATTTGCTTGACTGAAAAGTGAAATTTATTAGAAAAAATAACACACTTTTAGCTCTTTTTCAGGGAACATCAAAGCAAATACATATGTATATATTTTTCTCTGAGAACTATTTGGGGAACTACAAATTATATCACTTATCTCTTTGCTCTGCTCCCACAGTTCATCATCCTTTGACTTAAAAATCTATGCATTCTCCTAGAAACCAATAAACTTAAAAAATAAATAAATTACTATACATTCAACAAGGCCCAGTGCTGGGTCCTGCCCTGGGGTCACAACAACCCCAGGCAGTGCCACAGGCTGGGGCAGAGTGGCTGCAAAGCTGCCACAGGAAAAGGAGCTGGGGGTGCTGCTGACAGCAGCTGAACATGAGCCAGCAGGGCCCAGGTGGCCAAGAAGGCCAATGGCATCCTGGCCTGGACCAGCAATGGTGTGGCCAGCAGGAGCAGGGCAGGGATTGTTCCCTGTACTGGGCACTGGTGAGGCCACACCTTGAGTGTTGTGCTCAGTTTTGGGCCCCTCAATTCAAGGAAGACTTTTTGGTGCTGGAGCACATCCAGAGAAGGGGAATGGAGCAAGAAAAGTGTCTGGAGAGTAAGTCATATGAGAAACAGCTGAAGGAGCTCAAGACATTTTGCCTGGACAAAAGGAGAAATAAGGGGGGCCTTATCACTCTCTACAACTGCCTGAAAGAGGTAGGGGACAGTCTCTTCTCCCAGGCAATCAGCAACAGGAGAAGTGAAAATGGCCTCAAGCTGTGCCAGGGAAGATCCAGGCTGGACAACAGCAAGAATTTATTCACTTAGCATAGGCCAGCCAAGGAGTCACCATCCCTAGAGGTGTTCAAGAAATGACTGGAGTGCTTAGTGCTTTTGTTTAGTTGACAAGGTGGTGATCATTCAATGACTGGACTTGATGACCTCGGCAGTCTTTTCCCATCCTTCATGATTCTGTCATTCTATCATATGAAATGAATGTAACTGCTTGTCCTAATGCTGAAAGTCATAGTTTTGTTGCCTTGCTGTTGAGAGTACAATTCAATGCAATAACATTCAACTTCAGGGTTTTCTATACCTGCTGTGAAGTATCAGACAGAAGGGAAGTGACAGAGATGCATGAAGGCATCCTAACTTCATCTCACGCTGCAGCCCAGATCACGGCTCCAGGTCCATCACCTTTGGCAGTGATGGCAAACCTGGCTTAAATGCCCTGCCACCTCACCTGTCTCAGCCTGATCACCACTACTAGCTCCTGAGCTGCGTTGACACAAGAACTAGCAACATAACCATGCAAATGGTTGCACTGACACCTTGAAAGCGCAGACCAAAACTGCAGAACAAAGGACTCCATCATTGGTCATAAAAAGGACAGCTGAATAAAACTGATCAAATGGTTTTAGTTCAGTTTAGGAACAAAGATCCAGATAGTCTTAATACTGGCCAAACAGCTGTAATGAAAATAAAATTTATTTTAAAAACTACTATCTTTATTATGTATGTCTTCTAAGATCCCTATTATATGTAAATATAGAAACATTATTACCTACTTGTGTTAGGAGAATTAAGATTGTCAAAATAAAAATATATTCACTTCACTTGAAAGAAAGTAGTAATGACAAACTGAAGAACCAAGGCAAACTTTCAGCTTGTTTATGGAGCAGTGAAGTCGACAGACAGAAGATAACATTATACAAAAGTGGTTACATCAAGTTTTGGTCATTTCAGCAACATACAACTTGTTATGTACTTGAGATGTCAAGCACCTTGTATTTGCCAGATACCAGAAATATCTGGAGAAACTTGTTTAAAAAGAAATACAATTTTATTAGATGTAGTATATTAGGATGATTAGTTAAGACATAAATGTGCTTTGAGTACAATACCTGGCGGTGTCTCACAAAGCTTTTCAATTGTAGGAAGATTTCGAATCAAAAGATCATCGTCTATTACATTTAAATGAAACAAAACATTGCAAGAAAACAAAATATTTCAAGCAAAAATAGATGTTAAAAATTAATATTCAAAAATACTTTGCAAATTAAATTAAGGCAAAAGCATAAAAGAAGCACTCAATTACGCATGCCTTAAAGTTCACTTGGAAGAAGATAATCAGAGTCAATTCTCCATTATTCAGAATAAATGGGGTAAGAGGAACACTGGATTGTGCAAAAGTCAAAAGAATACAGAATGTATGGCAAACTACTTCCTCATGCCCCAGAGTATTTCAGCTTTTTGTATTGCCCTTCCCGTTTTCCCAGGACTATTTAATTCATACAGTCAGTGCAGAGGGAACTGGCCTTATCTATTTTTCCTAGGCCACAATAATAACCACATTAAGCTTCACTGTCAGCACACACCTCCTTACCTCCTGCCTCACCTCATGATTTCACTCTGCCACTGTTTCCAACAACACACATACATTTCTCCCCAGAGCTGGGGCATATTGATGCTCTTGCCACCAATTTTTGGTTCCTCGACACCAGAGCTGAGACCTGAGGATGTGAGCCTGGATAGACTCTGGTAACCAAAATATTAGTTGTTTCTGTGATGCTTCTCAGCACTTGTGAAACTGGTGGACACTGAACTGTAAGAGCTAAGGTTGGGCAGAACATAGTAGCTTTGCTTCTGCAGAGGGTGGAAACTACTCCACTGCAGAACTCCCACTAGATTCTGCACAGAAGCTCTTCAAAGCTGATGAGCCTGAGTGAGGAATCCTTGGCATCAATAACATTTGCAGATAACTGAATGATAACTTGACAACTTGATTTAACTTGTGACTAAAGGTGTAACTGTGTTCAGAAATTAAATAGTTCAATACTGCTAAATAAACAAGTTAAAATGTCTTAAGCCCTGCCCTTTCCAAACTAACAAAAAACCCCAACTATCTAAAAAAGCCCCAATGTCTCCTTTTGATTTATGACAATCAAATATCAAAACTGAAGGGCCTTCCTTTAAAAATAAGAGAAAACCATCTCAAATTAGTGGTAATACATGAAGACTAATTTCCTTCTCATCTTAATCTTTCTTGTTTAATTGTTTGTTTTGCTTTTACTGCTTAGCTTATATTCTTAACTAACTTGTAGAAAAATAAGCATTAGAACATAAAAGAACTCAGTTCTGTGACCATTTGTATTCATTCAAATTTTTCAGCATCCCTAAGTATTTCTGCACCTACACAATAACATTTTCTGAACAAATGTATGATAACGTGTTGTACTCGATAGATATACAAGCATACCAAATAAGAATTCATGGAATGTTAATTGTGAATAGTATTTCCCTAAAGAACATGCCATAACTGGATCTATGGTCTAATCTAATTTAATCTACTTTCCTGTGTCTCAGTGTCATTTAGAAGCAGACATTGCAAAGAATGTTTGAAGTACCCGGACTCACTGAACAACTGTGAACTATGAAACAACTAACTCAAACAAATGTTTCTTGCAGCAGGTGCAGCCTAGTGGCTGAGTTGTCCTATTTCTCCAGTAAAATAAAATGGTTAATTAAACTTACCAACTGTAGGTGTGTTTGCTGCACTGAGGGAAGCAGAAGAGGATATAGAAGAAATGCTCTCTGCACGTGCCAAAGGAGCTGCTGGAGGTGGACTTGAGTTAGAGGTCAGTGGAGGGCTGAATGGCCTAGGCTGAACAAAAGAGATCACAAGAATATAACACAAAGTGGTTTTAAACCAATGAAAAAATATTGTAAATATAAAAGCTCTTATTTAATGTCCCAATCAATTTCATAATGTTTCTTAATATAGTTTCTTTAATGTTTTATCTACCCTAGTTTTTAGTGTAAAACAGAGAACCTGCATTTTTAACTGGAGTGAATCCCACTATTTCATAGATTATAGGGATTTTTTGACAGAGTAGTCAAGTCTAATACATTTGCTTATGCAACAGCCTATCAATAATAGAGTACAGTATCAGAAATTAAGAATACAGACCTGTGTGCGTGGCAAACATAGATTTAGAGAGCTAAAGCAGAGCTACCAATGAACTGGAAGTGAGAGCAGTAGAGTGCAACTAAAATAGTTGTCACTGGAGTACAGGAGCAAGAGAGCAGTTATTGCAGCAGTTTCCAGCCGGGCTGTGCGTGGTGGGCTGCCGTGGCCAGGATAGCTCAGGAAGGCTCTCATAGCGTCCGAACTCCCAGGCACTTCCCAGCTGCAGGCAGCCTAAGCAAGCTTAAGTGATTTCAGCTCTTAGTGATTATCAGCTCTTTGTGATTTCAGATCTTTAGCTTGCTTGTGCTGCAGCAGACGCAGGGAGAGAGAAGAGAAGTGCTGTATAAGGTTCCGCTGGATTCTTTATTAGGGTCTTCTGCGAAGGTTCTCAGTGACAGCTCTTCTGTCGAACCAGGCAGAATTAGGGGTTTTTATACCGTACAGGGGCTCTGGAAATTATCCAATAGTAAGGGTCAGGGGAAAGTGACCTATAGGTTTACAGAGAGATAAGCAGGGTCTGAAAGGCAGAAGAGAGGGGCTTCTAAGGCCCAGTCATGATGACTTGGCATTTCCTAGCTCAGGCTTCTGACCTCCAAGGAGGCTTTGCAGACCATGGGCCTGCTACAAGGAGTGGCTGTAGGACCAGGTTTTTTTCAACCCAGAGAACAGAAGCCTAAGAAGAGATTTATTAGCAGGCTCCTACTAGGTAAAAAGAGGCACACAAAGAAGTCAGAGTCAGGCTCTTCTAAGAGATGCAAGAGCTACAGCAAAGAAATGCCAGCCAGACATTGGGAAAAAGTCCTTGCAACCTTTTGGTAAAATCCTGAGACAGGCTGCCAGATTGGTAAAATCTCCCACTGTGGAAATTTTCAAAACTCAGCATGGTCCTGAGCAACCTGATAAAATTTTGACCTCAGCCCTTTTTTGAGCACATTGACCTAGAGAAAAATCTCTTCCACTCTAAATCTCTAGATGGTTTTAGGGTACACTTAACTGTTAAGGTATTTAACTAGTGATCATGCTGGGGTTAACCTATCTGAAAGGTACTAAAACCCCTGAAGCATCATTTTTGCAGGATAACTGTAGAATCCCAGAAGATAAGGGGCTAATATGTATGTCTCAAACAACTGATAGCTGCATGACTGTAGAACCATCCAAGGGCTGTTGCTAATAACAGACAAACTGTTGATAATGACCAAGGGCTGTGGATACTGATCAAAGACTGTTGGTAATAATAAAGGATTGTTGGTACTAATAAACAAGGATTGCTGGTAATAATGACAGATCATTGTTAATAACCAAAGACTGTTGGTACTAACAGAGGAAGTGTGCTGTAATAACCAAGGATTGTTGGTAAAAACAAAGTGAAAAAGAACAAGATGTGGCTGGAGTAGGCGCTACACAGTGGTAGGCAGCACTTTTCTGTCACATCTTGCTCTAGCTCCTGCAGATGAGCACCAGAACAGGTACAGCTCAAGTGCAGGAATGAGGCAGAGAAGTGGGAATGGACTGGGGGTAACAAGATCACCCAGGACCCCCAAAGTCCTCTGACTGAATTCCAGAAAGGTCTGAAAGAATGAACTGTGCATGATAACTAATTTGCATAGAAAACAATAAACTTAGCTCGAGGGTGTGGAAAACCAGTATTCCCAACAAGCCTAGGTGGTATCTCCAGGATACTTCATCAGCTGAATTGACACTGGAACCAGGATTGGTGATCTCTCTTTCTCCCTTTCTCTTCCTGTTTATTTCATATGTTCCTTTGTTTCTTCCTTTTTTATTCTACCTCTTTATCCAGAATCCACTGTCACGTGCATATACAGTAAGTCAGGGACCAACATACCAATTTCCATGTCAAGTGCATCATTTAATAATAAAGCTTTGTGAGTTTTGTGGACCCTCTGACTTTAGGCATTCCTTTCAACCACTAGCATTCGTGAATCTTGGGTGTTTCCTTTCCCCTAAGGCCAGGATGTCACAGTAGCTTTATTCCCCCCATTTTATTGCACTTCTTGGCTTTGATAGAGACTAAAGGAGTTAACATGTAATGAAGACAACTGACAACCTTCTACTTGTATCCAGATAATAGTATATTTCAAAAGCAACAGTATAAAATTAAGGTAGCTTTGTTCAGGATCATACTTTATATTAGAACAGATAAATGACATGAAGAACAGATTCCTTGGGCTGAGAGCAATTACCACAATTCTGTATTGGAAAAAGAGATGAATTTCAAAACGAACTCTTTTCTGATCCTACAGAAAAGCAAAACAGTTTGAAAATATTCTGTCAGTTTTGTCAAAGCATAAGATGAGAACTTTGTTTGTACCAAGAATATGGTGAAAACATCTTGCTACTTTGAAAGACAAGAAGAGGATTTTACCACAGGAACATTTTTCCAAGTCAGGAAGTCAAGTGAAACCTGCAGAATACTAATATTTACAGAGGAAATTAGGCATGGCCTAGTCTGATAGGCTATTTGGTTATTTGCATTCTTTAGCACATTCCTTATCGGCAGGTGAACCCACACTGCAGGTACATGCAGTGTGCAACATCTTGCCATTCTCATGGGCAGCTGCTGTGATCTACCACCTCCCTTTTCCACAAAGCAGCACCATGTGCAGGGAGAAGTCACAACAGGGCTACTTCTGTCAATGTACAACTGAAAAATACCCCGCTCATTTCCCAGAGCTTTGGTGATACCCCTAAATCAAGGGAGGTTTGTTAATAACTTCAATAGTATTTTGGCCTTCATTATCAAATTACTGCTTTGCTCAATTGAAAACACTCAGCTAATGCAAAAATTATGTTTTGGATCTTAGTATTTGTGTTGATATTTATCGTAAACTATAACCATACCTATTTGGCAATGTTGAAAACCTGCTTATGAGATTCCTTGAACATTGGCTAGAAAGCAACTCCACTGTAATAGAGTAAATGAATAGAGTATCTGAAATCAAGTCAAAATGGCAAACAAAAAAAAATAATAATCAATACATACTATTTCATTAATCCCACTAAGCTTCCCTGTAGACAGCTTTGGTCTTGAAGCAGGTCTTGGAGGGGGTACAATGGTGCCCACAGAAAGCGGAGTGGTGGGCCTTGCTGAAAGAAAGCAAAGTTAAGAAAATATTAGAAAGATCATACTGAACATAATTAGTTATTTACTTGAGTAGAATATCTAGAAGTGATGTTTCTACTAGAGGTTCCTATTGTACAAGTGCCACGTTTAAAGAGTTAACACAAATCATAAGTGCTTTTAAAATAGTGCCATGTGATACCCTGAAAAGTGCATCTAAAAACAGCATTGTGGGCTTTCTTATTGCTCTCAAGTGATTTTATACCAACCACTCTTGGATGCTTGTATGTAAAAAGAATTGTTTTTGCAAACACAATTACTTAATCTTTGAGATCTCATTGCTGTCTGACATCCCACAAAAATAAATTCCCATTTCTAGAAAAGCAGCACTGCATAGTTAAGAAAAAGCAATGCTTTTAAATGAATAATTTGAATTTTCTTCTTATTTTAAGCTGAATATTTACTTCACTGTCCCAACTGGTATTAACAAGCAGTTTAGTACATTCTAAGTAAGAGGATGAGTTAATTTTAACATCAGTTGAACAATAATAAGAAAAATAAAAAATGAATCCAAAGCTTGCTTTTTGGAGTCAGTTATTAGCAAAGAGCAGTACAGAATGCATGCTTGGCATACCCTTATTTGTATGAGCACAAGAAGACACTAAACTATAGTCCAGTAGTGCTGAAGATGATGCAGAAGATATTTCAGTAGCAGTGCCAGTTTCTTCAATGAATAATTGTTCATGGCATATAGAGTTATTGAAAAGGTCACTTTGATCCTCAGAAGCACAGCTGTTGGAAGAATTCCCAAGCAAAGCAGAAGAGGCAAGGCAGGCATTTTCAGTTTTAAAATGCAATCTTTGGGGCTCCTTCTTGTCTGTGCTTGTGTGTCTAATTGTAAGAAGTTCATCAGCAAAGGAAATCCACTGACTCTGAGACCGTGAAAAACAGGATAAAGTACTGGTACTCCCTGATGGCGCTGCTGTAACACCAGATTTGCACAAAGTGCTAATGGTAAAGCCTGGTGAGGATGGGCTTGTAGACCCAGAATCTGTCTGGTGTCCAAGCAAAGACTGAGATATTCTACACCCAGGCAAATCAGTGGTAGATGATGAGGAGCTCCTATTGTGCTCTGTTAGGGTAGCTGAAGGAAAAGGGAAGAATTGAAACTAGGACCAACAATGAAAAGATAAAATTTTCAATATTCAAAAAAGTATTTAATATCCACTGCACAAGGGCTACCAGCCAGCATGAAAAATAACTGTTCTATTAAAGTAACTCCCCCAAGTCATAAATAGAAGACAGAAAAAAGCCAGTCACATATCATATGTACTTCATTCATACTGCCAACTATGTCCCTTTCCATTTTTCAGTACATTAAAAAAAATTATTGTGTGCATCTCCACTTAAGGCTCTATTTCTCAGAACTTTCCTTTGACTTCCTACCTGTTGTGATTTAATTTTTTCTCATCTTTGTCTTTTCTTTCCTGCATCCTATTCCATTTTTAGTTCCTCTCCACACCTTGCTGCTTTTAATTTCCTCCAAAGTTATTTAATCAAACCTATCCTCTTCCTTCCAAAGACTTTGATTCTCTTAGTCCTAGTATTTGTAATAGGAAGGTCCAACAGATTTGACTTTCAGGTGAATGAATGAAGACAATGGAGCCACAAGATTCAGTCTGATAGTTATTCTGTCTCTATCAATCTGTGTCTAGTGGGTAACAATATGGATGAGGCACCATCCACCTCAGTTTTTTTCCCCTCTCTCATCCTATAACCTTCTGACTGCTGAAAAAAGGAATTTTTCACAAGTATTCCCTGCACTTGCTGTTGCCTGTTGCTCTAGATGACAATAGAAGCAGAAAATGCAAGGTTAGTCAATTCTCAACATCTTGCAGATTGGCAGAGCTAGGAGCAACAGCAGTGACAACCCAAAATCCAAAAAAGAAACACATTTAAAAGTTCAGATCAAAAGTACAATTGTCCTCTCTACAGTGTCCCTTTTGCCATAAACAAATACATTCTCCAAGTCCACCTACACATTAAGAATTTTAACACAGCTTTCCCTTTCAAGCAGATATTTTAACTACCATTCAAAGGCTTTAATATACTACTACAAATCCTATTTAAAAACAATGTGGACATGTTAAGAACTATTTTAAAAATACATATGGATGAAAATAAGGAAGATAAATAATAGAAGCATTTTGAAAATATCAAGAGCTAGCTAAAAAATGTCTGTTGTGTTTGTTCAAGATAACAAAGATAGCTGAAACTTCTAATAAAGTGAGATTATTCATGGATGACCAAAGATTACTTCTGTGCTGCATAAAGCACTGTCTGCTCAAATACCAAGGTAGTTTAAGTGTTCAATGATTAACATGGTTATAAACCAATAGTTAAACAAATGTTTAAACCATAAGGGACATATACTGTATTCCACACAACTAATGTATGTAATTTAAGTTTGGGATTAAGATTTTCAAAAACCTTAAGCACCACCTTATTACAAACCTTCAAGTTGAAGATAAAAATTAATTTTGAGGAAAATACCATCTGATAAGTATTTAAAAAAAGTTTTAAAACTTACTTGCAAGTTAGCAAGCATTAGAACTCAATTTAAACAACATGACCTTCATTGATCCAGGCTTTTTTTTTACTCCAAATGTATTAGAAATTTGTTATACTTTGAAACATTTACTTTCTACTTAATTCTACAGATGATTGCACAAATGTAAATATCTTAGTTAACTTTTAGCACAACAGTCCTTGAAAGAATGATTTATCAGATAAAGTTTGCCAATGCACAGATGTATCTAAACTTGATTTATGCCCACAAGACCCTCTATTGCACCAGTTTCAATGAACTGCAGGGCTCTGTGTATAAGCCTTATGGGTATGACCAGGGTAGATGACTCCGTGCCAGATAGAGCTACAGAGGATATTATGGATCTCTGTCATTACTCATCAGCCAGAGACTACTTTCTCCACGGTTCTGCTGCCAGCAGGAACTGTAAGATGACTTCCTAACCTGCTTTCACTCCTCATCCAGGCACAGCAATAAACACCTGAATACAGCTACAACCACCAGCACAAGAAGTTCAGTATCCTCTGCCTTTCTCTGCAGAATCCAATACAAGACCGAAGTTATCAAAACAGAGTATTCTAAGAAAGCACCATTTCTTTTCAGAGTATTCCAGTTATATATATCTCTCTAGAATTTATTCTTAAATGTGTTACCACATACATGGTGGATCCACTTGCCAGTACTAGTGACTGATTATGTAAGTCAGGATGAGAGAATTATAATGAATTATGTAAGCCAGATTTATTAAAACTGTAACCTTTAAGGAACATCAATTTGTTGTGAAAGACTAAGTTATTAAAATCTGAAGAGTTACAAAGCAATGTTGATTGCTGTTAAAAGAACATTACTTAAACCAAGAAATAACACCAGTTTTTCAGAATTCTCCTACTGATACATGTAATCCTCCTTATTGTTCTTCAATCTGCATGATCATGCACAGAAGAAAAACACTAGAAAACCATAATGAACAAAGAAATGAGAACCATTTTTGGAATACAAGTACTTAGTTTAAAAAAAAAAATCAGCGAACACACTTCCTTTCTCAGGTCTGTAGAAGGAGGAAAGTGTCTACATTAAGAGAAAATTAAGGTGTTGGAGTAAAGATGCATAGTAAGTAGACTGAAAAGAAGCATGGAACTTTTTTTTGCAAAGACCAGGTTTCAGGAAAGCTTGCCAGTGTCCTACCAACAATAATATCCTGCAACCCAAAATTCCCAAACATGTGCTCTCTCCCTCCACCTCCTCCCATATGCTCCACACCATCATTTTCCTTGCAATATCCCTGCTTTCAGAATCTCAGTTTAATTCATGTCTCAGTCCTGTTATTTTTATCCATCTCCCCTTGGATTATGCCTTCACAACCCCTAACAGAATCATGCCTTCCTACAGGAAACAAGTTCCTCACAGCAAAGCTCTGCTCTTTGTACTACATAGCCCAGCCAACTTTCCTGGAAAGAAGAAATCCATCCCTATTCATTGTGTAAGCTCAGCTGATCTCACAGTTGCTGCAACAATCTCCATTTTATCTTCCAGCCTTATCAGCTGAAAAAAATTGATTACATTCTAGACGGTGAGCAATTATCCAGTAAGTGTGAGAAGGCAATAAAAAAAAGGCAGGAGCAAAACAGAATTTTTCTGAAGTGTCTAGCATTCCCTCTTCCTTCTTGCTCTCTAGCTTGAAAGCCTTATATGCTACCTTCTCAGTTCTGTAATATTTGTAAGACAGTATACTGCTTTATAAAACTCTATAACTTATGCATAAAAGCACATCCCCTTGGTAATAACTGAAAAAACAACACCAGAACACCCAGAAATATGGCAAACACCGTCTCTACCATCAAATATTTTACCTGAGGAAGATGAGGATGCCAAAGAAGCTGAAGATGAAGATTCAAGAGAAGTGCTGAAGAGTGGATCCCATGCCAGGAAGTCACTGTTCCCCTTTCTATATTAAGAGTTAAAATTGAAATAGAAATGAAAGATTTATGCATTCATAAAAATCACAAAGTTCAGTAGTAGTTTCATAATATAATAATTACAATAATCACAGAACAGTTTGGCTTTGAAGGGATCTTTAAAAATTCTGTTCCAACCATGCTGACATCCACTAGACCAGGTTGTTTAAAGCCTCTTCCAGACTGACCTGGAACATTTCCAGAGACAGGGCATCCAGAACTTCTCTAGGCGATCTATTTCCATGTCTCACTAGACCTCACAGTAAAGAATTTCCTCCATATATTTAATGTAAAACTACTCTGAATTTAAAGCCACTGCTCCTAGTCCTATCACTACATAACTCTTGTAAAAAGTCCCTCAATAATATGATAAAGACTTTTGACAAATTAGTTTATATTAGTCTTTGCATCTAAAAAGAAAAGAATTAGTCAAAAGTTGCAGGTCAAAGAACTGATTTACACATACGGAGACTGTCATAGCCAACACTTGAGTGAAAATTTGTGAGTGGACATACTCCATAATGTCAGTTAAATAACTGACTTACATCTTCAAATTCATTTATTTCAGCATATATACACATAAGCAATGTATGCAGATCAGTGTAAATCTGGGGTTTGCAATCTTAAACACTTTACCACGGAACACTCTTGGATAGAAACTATCTTATTTAAAAACTGTCTTATTCAAAAACATTGTGTAGCTATGTAATTATAAATACCAACTGAAATTGATCACAATAAATCAAATGTATTAGAATGTGTAAACAAATGAATGGAAATATCCATTGATACACTTAGGCTTACAATGCAATAGATGTACAACTTAAGACAGCACTCAGCTGTCATTTCCAATGAGTTTCCAAGTTTAGAAAAATAAGAACAAATTCCTGCAAAATAGGACTTGACAGAATTTTACATTTGAACTTACTCAGTAGCTGGAGCAGATAGTTTTGATTTTGTTGACTCTTCACCTAAGAAAATGATACCATATTATCACTAAAGGTGTGAAATATGAAATAAAAATTTCATTTTAATTATAAAAAGATACTTAATATTAGTGTTGGCGGTTCAAAACAAATTACTATTAAAATGGAAAAAAAGAAAATGTATCATATCTGATAAGTTTAGATATTCCTGAACTACAAAAAGACTACATAGACCAGTGCACTTCATAAGGAAGTATTGTTTGCTTGAAACTTCCTCCTTGAATTATACAATTTACATCAACACCGTTCTTTAGCAAATCTGGCCTGGGTTCCCATTGGCTAAAAAGAAAAAAAAATCCAACCCTGAATAATAGAAGCTAATGCTCTATCCTCTATTTCAGTATTTTACATCATAAACATGGTGTGCTTTGCTGGATCATACTAAAATTGAGCAGGTGGAAGGGTTTCAGGAACTTGCACAGAAGTTTCTCCTTTGAGGCAACCCCTTTGGCATGTGGATGTGTTCCTCACTACTGTCAGATACAAGGTAATCTGGTCCCCACAACAGGTAACAGCCAAGTATATAGATAAGGAATAGTTATATAAAACTAATAAGAGAAACATTTTGTTCAATGTAAAATACAGACATTTAAGAAGTTTGTGTCTCCAACAATTAAACCGATATTTGTTTTCATTCTATGTTAAAAAAATAAGACTAAAAGATTCACACTTACTGGAGGAATTTTGATTCATTTGTGCCTGAAACAGGGAAAAAAAAAAGAGGAGTAAGTTCTTCTACTGTGAAATAAACCACTTAACAGTCCCAGAGTTCTTATATCCACTCAACTTCCTATGAGGTATTTTGTTTTCAGTGCCAGGCAAAAACATAATGAACTTGTGGAAGACCACGGAACATGAGCCTGGGCAGAGCATCCAGTGCACATCTGCCATACCAGCTTGAAAACGTAGGAATAAATACCGAAGAGCTGACAAAGGGAGCAGCATTTTTAAATCCCTTTACTGTCTGGGACAGAAAATTATACAGCCTATGTATTTATCACATGGTATAAATGAAACAAAACATTCCTCATGTTTTCCCAACAAGTCCCCTCACACACTAGACTTACTTAGTTTTAACTACAAATGCAAATAAAAAGCCATTCTCTACTTACAGGACTGTGCCTCTGCTTTCAAAATGTGGTGAGGGAAAAAAGAGAAAAAATATTATTTTAATATGTTATGTGCACTATTTTCCTTAAAATCAGAACCAGTCTTGCTCTGATCTGAATACTGTACTAGCATACCCTAATATTATTTATCATCTGGTGGTATAGAGGATTATTCCATGAATTGGCAGGATACATCAATAAAGCTGCACTGCAAATGTTAGATGTAGCCTCATTATACAATCTTTTTTAAAAGACCTGTATGTTATTGAAAATTAATTTTCAAATTATGTTCAAAGCTATGCTCAGCTAACCCTAAGATGTAACTGAATGTCTTATGGTGGCAAGAGCACAAACACAAGAACGGAATAATCAAGTGTCAAAGGAAAATTTAAATATGAGAAAAATACTTAATGCTATATTGCAATATCAAAGTGCAATCTATATATATTGGAATATGAAATGTACCAAAAAAGTGCATTAGAAAAAAGAATTACTGAACCTAGAATAAATTCTGAACATTTTAATATATGGTTACATTACAGTTTCTTTACCACTTTTCTACACATCAAAAATACAAGGAGCAACAGACTTACAGATATAGCTGGAGAAAGAGTGATGTTCCCTATGGATACTTTTAATTCATCCAAAGAAGGCATAGTGTATTGAGAGCTGTTATTTGGCTGGACTGGTTTTATTTCCACATGGAACCTCCTGGGTTCATCATCTTCAGAGTCAGACTCACTGGATGAATAGAAATGGTTCTCTTTGGTATGTTTGTCTCAGTTAAGGTGGAAATACCTCAAAGCCATCTGCTTAATCTACTTTACAATTCTGATTCAGAAAATGCTCATATTAAGTGACCTCTTTGTGCACTTACATACATTCACAGTCCAAAATGCACAATTCAGAGTTAAAATTTAGGGGTTTATTTCATTTATCTTCAGAATGATGATTCTGTTCAGAAAAACATGATGTCATATAACTGAAGAATGGCAATATCTGCATATAACTGAGTAACTGCATATTTGAAGGCATAAGGTTAAATTTAAGACACTAAAGCAGCAACACTTCAGCATGTAAAATTATAATTTGCAAGACTCCAACAGGGATTCTAACAGATGTATGAAAAAATGTAGAAGTCTTTTAAATCAAACGAAGAAAAGCCTAGGTTTTTTGATAAGCAGTGAAATGCCCATGTATATGAAATACCTGTCCCTAACATAAACAGTGAAGGAAAGAGAAGGAGTCACCATTACTTGCTCCTTTTACAGTGTGACACTGAAAATTTTTTAAGAAAGGATGCCAGTTATACAGAAGACTGCACAGTAAACTGAACAATGTCAGCTGCTTAAAGTACTGTCATCTTTGGACATCTCAGAGCTTAAAATAAGGGAAATAAACAGCGCTTTATAAGCAAAGGAGCAGCACTGAAGAAAAGCTCTGAAAGTCCCAAGCTAAGTCTTAAAACCTCCATCTGTTTTGACAAGAAAAATTTGAAAATTTCCCTCTACAGAAAAGTTCTGTACTACCTGGAAGAAGTGTACATATTCTCTAAGTCACTTCTTCTAAGTTATTTTCACCTGAAAATATGACATACATTTGCACTAAATTCCTTCAAACTATTCCCTAACAAAGTTTTAAACCTGACATTCAAAATCCCTTTCAGCTCAAAGGATCTGAAACTTGTGGTGAGGAAAAAGCCAAGTATCTTCATCTTACATCTCTCTTCCTTCAAAATAAAGCAGTTATAGAAAAGTTTTCAAAGACAAGTAATTCTAATTTCATCAAAAGATTTATTGTCTTGAATGTTATCACTGACCTTCAAGATTAATTTCCTACAAATAAGACAGTTCTTGTAAAATGTTTCACCAACACAGATTTAAATCAGACTTATTATGATTGACTGTCACAGTAAAACAATGTCGTCCAACAAATTATCTCATGAGTTCCCATCAACAAAATAAATTTCTAGAGGCTAAGGGAGGAAAAGAGAAAGGGAGGTGATAAGTTCCTGAAGCTGGTCAAGATTTTCAGCAGCTGAAGTAGTATCACATGACAGATTTCAAATCATGGATATTTTTCACTGAATGTACGCCTCTTCTTTTGTTTCACAACAAAAAAGAGATAATAAAAAATAGGATGTCCAAATGAATCATTCATCGTAAGCACAGACGTTGTTCACTTCTCTCTCACTTTCAGAAACACATGCAAAGCATAAAACAATACTCCCCTTAGAACTGGATAAAAGTCTGTCACTTTATATAATTTTTTAAAATAGAATATTACACCAACTGCTTTTATTGTTACAGGACTCTTCCATGTGGGCATTAGAGGAATATTCTGCAAAGGTGAATATAACTTCTTTCAAAAGAAGTTATGATGATGACTTGGCCACTGTAATGAGCTGTTAACTGCTTAAAAGTTTTTGCAATTTAAGGTAATGGTACAGCCTAAATTCACCTTTTATCTGAAGTACCCAGAAAATTCAGTGAATACATTTCCAAAAATTAGCTATCTTACCAACATACCAAGCTTGCTTAGATTTATGGTAACTATTCCCAGCTCTTAAGCAGAACTTTCCTCTGCGGCAGTAGGAAAAAAGTGGACAAGAATTTTCCTCCAGAGCAACAGGGGAACAGCAGAGAAAAATTTTCAGCCTCAATAAAGCAAGTCTGAACAAAATCTACTCTGTATATGAAAGCTAATAAGCTTTCAATATGAAGCTATTAAAAACACAGTAAAAGCTAAAAGCACCAACTGGAAACAGCATGTAGTGTAATGACTTCATTAAGTAACAGAAATTCTATTTCTACACTGCTGTAGTGCTACACTAGAAAAAAAAAGTGAGGGCACAGGTATAGAACAGATAACCATACAATATGCTTTAAAAAGTTTGCAAACTTTATAAACTCTCTGAGAGCTTTTCATGGACAGAGATCTGCAATGGAATTTTGGATTTGCAATGGATCTGGCTATTTTTTTGCTTTTCGTTTTTACTGTCCTTTTTAAGTTCCCAAGAGATCTAATTTAATCTTTAACATTTGCACACATACATACAAGAAAAAATTTAGTTCATTTTACAAAAGCTACGAATGTAGGAATAGAAGGTTGCTACATAGGCATAAATGTCATTCATCTTCCTTAACTCTTTAGTCAGTACTTCCTCTTTCCAAAGAATTGTAGTAGCATCAAATAACTTGACATAATAATAGTAGAAAGGATATCTTGTGTTGCTTCTGGTTTAATGCTGTATCCTTCATCATCTACATCAGGAAAGTTCTAAAAACAACAACAAAAATTATGCTATTGATAAATAACTAAAAAACCATGTCATTCTTACATCAGACTGAATTTTACATCACTGACAAACTGAAATTGCAACAACTCATGACAGTGATTTTTATTCAACATTATTTCAATTATCTGAAGTTATGATTTGTCATTCAGAAGTTGTGTAACAAGATATCTCAGCACAAAATGTAACAAAACAAGCTCTAAACTTCCTGTGAAATTGCCAGTGAAAACTGGCAAGTTTGAAATGCATTGGCTTTTACTAATCAATCACTACTTAATTAGTAATTGCAATTACTAATTACAGATTATTAATCAATTTCTCTACCAAAAAGGACAGAAATCAACATTATTTTAGCTTTAGTATTGAGTTAAATTAGGTTATAATTCTCTTGGCCCCAGGAAAATTTCCCAATTTTTACTGCTTTCAGCTAAGACACAAGATGTTCTGATGGTGCAGAGGCAAAACCTTTCCTAAGGTCAGTCAGTATTTAAGAATGCTAGCAAAAGCACTGCTTACAAATTCCACTTCCCCTAGCAAAAGCAGTGTGCCTATACTGTTACTTCAGAAAGGAATATCCATACCACAGGTGCTCAAAATTTTATTCCCAAGTTTTCCTTTACACATCTCCAACACTATCCTCAATCTTCAAAGCCAATAAGCATCTGGTAACTTAAGACAAGTTCTGTTTTTCTGTTCTTGCAGGCAATTAAACAGAAACTGAAAAGAATGATGTTAAAGTGACTTAGAATGCTCAGCTAGGCATACAGTTTCATTAATATAACTTTGGGGCAGAGAGAAACAAGTCTCCAAAATAATCTAAACTTTAAAAATGCACAAAACCTCCATATCATATGTTACATATACAGGATAAACATGGATACATAGATCTTTCTCCACTCAGAACCAAAAAAATCCACTCACAACTTTGAATGCATAGGCAGTGTATGTGAACTGCTTAACGTCTCAGTAAATTTATCACAAAAAACCACAACCAAGGTGTCTTCAAAATGCAGTGATTTCAGTAGTTACTAATATGTTATAAAAATTAGAATATGTAAACTTATAAAAGTAATTTATTCTAGTGTAACATCAGTATATTCTATCAGAAAGCAGGTACTGGCAAGCAATTCAACCAACAGATATGTATACACAATACAGACAAAACATAATTTGTTAGAAGTCAAGGGATATAACAAAATGACTTATGCTGGTGGTTTCAAGTGGACAAGAAAGGAGCCTCATGACTTCAGATAAAATTTGAACACAAGTTTAAAGAGAATATCTTTGGCTTTCGAAGTACAGAACATAAACATTAAAATTATTCAAATGTAGTTAACCTTCTGTGTCTTTTACAGATGTGATGAGATGTCTGATAATTCACTAAGAAATTATCTCCTCTGTATAGCTCCCTAAATTTAGCACTTCTCAAATAAATGGAATTTACACACAGCTCAAACTTTCTGCTAAGAAAAATGTAAGAAATACAGTCCTGTACAGATGTAAGACATACCAAATTAAATACCACATCAAACTAAGGTCAAAAATCAACATCAAAGCTCTCCATACTTAAAATACAGACCATATAGACGCAATTTCTTGAAATATTTGCAAGATCTAGACTTTACTGCTATTTGATTAATAAATAAATAAATAAATAATTACAACAACAAAAAAGTAATAACAGTACAATCACACGGTCCAATACTTTAGCTCTACTTGCTCAAATCAGGGTTCTTAGCTACGCTTGACCTCAAGCTGACCTTGTTTATATAGCAAAAACCACTAACGAAACTTGACATCAAAGTAAACAGAACAAAAACATATAGCTACAGGGTAAGTTTATTTTCTTGTAATACTAGAAATTCTGAATTCTAAAATTAATTTAATTGTCACACCAGGTGATTTTCCATAGATAGAGACATTAATGGTTAAGATCAATTGAAAATCAATAAAAATCTTTAAATATACAACATATAATTTTTCTACAACTGGGCCATATATGTACAGGATACTGTTACTGGCCTGACACAGCATGCACAATGTAGCTGGCAAAATGGACTATTTTGATATAAAATGAAGAGAGAAGTTTGTAGAAGTTATTTTCATTGTATGATTTTTAATTTACTGAAAAATCTCTAGGATGAAGAACGCACCAAAATCTTAAAATATTTAACCTTCTTTCTTAATACTTTCATGACAATTATTTCTGATCTTAATATACTTGAATCATCTCTTCTTCAGAAACAGCCCTTCAGCATGCAGTCTGTTTTCACAACTTCATGTACGTAACAGAGATGAATACTGTACAGCTTAAGTTCTGAACACAGGAGAAGAAAATTCCTTCCTTCTCTTTCAGCTATTCTATGCTATCACTTCTTTTCAAACCCTATCTAGAAAACTTAATTTGCAATTTTTTCCTATATCTGAAATTTAAATACACAGATGTTTGAAATTGAAAGAATATCAAACATCTCACATAAAACAGCATATACACACATAAATAATTTGCTTTGTATTTCCAGCCTTGTCAGTCATCCAGATTGATCTTGTGCCAATTTATGATCATTGTTAACAGTTGCTTTAATTAACTAGATACTGAATTCATATGTTTATGTAAATCAGCATCAAAAATTGGTGGAATAGATACTTGATATACCTTTGTATAGACAAAAGAAGATTGTGTCACAAATAAGTAAAATGATACCTCACAATCTTACAAGTTGAGTAGTAATTTCAAAATACTGTTCTCAATATTTTGAATGGTTGAACTGATGAATGGGCTTTCTGAAACACCAACATTTCATTTGCAAATCTACATTTAATAACAGTGGTAGATAACACAGCAACCTGAGAGAGACACATATTCAGTATTCTGATGTTAATGAAGGCATTTACATTTATTTGACTAATTTTTACTCCCTCTTCCACACTCCTACAAAGAACTATATGTTATGTCATGAATAACAGTGTATCTTAAATATCAGGCACACAACACAGGTAAGACCTGACTTGCCTACCATACTGATCAGAGGTTAAGTTCACAACCTACATGTATAATTTTTGAACTTCAACACACAAGATTATGATCTTTGCAAACTTTGGCCTTTGAGAAAATTTGTTATTAATACAATGGGGATGGAGGTCTGCTTTAGTCCCCTACACAAACATGTGTAGTGTTCTTTGCAGTCAAAAACCTCCTAATAACTTCATTATGCATGTGACCTGAACTTTGCAAAGCAACTAGAAAGAAAGCAACTGCAAAAGCAACTGGAAGTGGTGGACTTCCAGGAAGCCTTTCTGAGGTTCTGTTAAGCAACTGAATATGTAGCTATAAAAGTCAGTTTTCCCCATGTTTGCAGATGTAAGGCATTAACTGAGATCTTATATAGCTTTAAACATATGCCAGAAACTTAGGTCATGTACCTTTATCTTTGCCATGGCATATTCTACAGGCTTTCTGGGGTTAATAAATTTTCAAAGACATAAAACATAAGGCTTTGATAAGTAAAATAAAATTTCCTGTATAAGACGGTTGACGACCAAGCATTCTATTGACAAAACACATTTTTTAGCTTTGGTGAAAATTTTATTTCAGTTTCCTTGCTCTGTCCCATCTGTCATCTAAAACTGATTGAAGAAGCCACACCATTACAATGTCATTAGTGTCTCTGAGCTACATACAAAGACAAGGGAGGACCATACAGAGCATTGTAGTCTAGCAACTTCATTTGGCCCTTCCTCTGCAACACTAGTGCTGCTGACAGGCTGGTCATCAGTCAAGAAGCAAAGAACCATCACTATGCCTTAGTTTTATTTCTTTATATTTTCTCTTCTGCCAGGAAAACTACAGTGGTTATGAGAGCTCTTATCAAGTTTTCCTGAGGGTATGCTTCAAAATGCAGTGCAGCTGAACAGCTTACTCTATTTTTTTCTGCCAGAACTCAACTGGCTTCCTGTAATCCGGATGAGGACTCAAAGTAAGCAGCTGAAGCTCATAGGCTGGAACAAGCGAACAAAAAGGCTCTCCACTTTTGACATATTTGTGATGTAAATTTGACTCTGCCATATACTCAGGTTAAGACAGAGGCATAATATTGGCCTCCTCTCCTTAGGGTGCCTATTAACCCAAAAGACAGAGAAGAAGAGAGCAGACAGACAGTTTCTCCTATTGTTAGAAATGCAGAAAGAAAGTAAAATGGGAATTCAAAGTGCCCCTGTCTTGTGCTGTGACAGAGAGCCTTGTCCTCAATAGCAACTATTTGAAAAATGCCAGAACACAATACTGTAAAATGCAAATAAGGAAAAATACTTGAATTTCAATAAATATTAGATTACTCTTGTGTTCCACCTCTCAGAAATTAATGGTTCCAAATTCAGCCAGTTCCCAACATAAAAAAATGGTCTATAATTCTACATAATCGTAATTATGCTACATTCACATATGAAGATGCTAATGAAAAGTTTCAGATGCCCTGATATGTGCTTGCATTTCAGTTTCCCATGAAAAAAAAACTTTCAGCATTATGTTCTGAACATCGGTGACTCCCTTCTTAATTACTTTTGAACTTACTGGACAATTTCAAATGGATTTGACAGAAAGAACAGAGAACTCAAAGATAATTACATTACTACAGTCTTCGTGAAAATAGGCAGTGAAGTAGAAAAAGGAGATCAGCAAGGATCCTAACCAAGGGAAGGGTTGTAATCCCAATTCAGATCTTACTGGACACAAGTAGAACCTTGCAAATGTTTCCCTGAAATAAAAGTTTCTTTTAGATCTCATATCTTCCTAGAGAACATCTCTAGAGACATGGGAAAACTCATGGGAAACAAGACACTTCAGCCTTTAGATAAACGTTCTGAAGGAAAACCCCCATACAGAGTCAGTCTTCAATTGCTATCTCTTTCCAATGCATACACTTTCTACTACAGACTTTCAATTTTTCTTAATTATCAAGCTTTAGCTTAATGGAAGTTACGCTATAGACTGACATATAAAAAACTCAGGAATTTTAAATCTCATGAGATTCTGTCACCTATATTTAAACAGACACTGCTTATTGAAGTGCTCAACTTTTTTAACAAATACCAGTTCTCAGTCCACAGCTGCCTACTAATGAGCCCACAAAAACCTTTAAAAGCCATTACAAAAAAATACTGAATTAATAAAACATTAATTCCATTTTCCAGTATACATAATCTAGCTACCACAAAAAGGATAAGCATATGCATATCTGTCTCACCACATATAAGTTTGAGAGGATTTTGGGACAAAAGACATTTTTGACTCGTCTCACCATTTTGTTTTTGGAAACAGAATAGAAGTCTGATAGACTACGTTACACATTTTGCACCTTCATGATATTGTCTACATAGTATGTTCAAAGATTCACAGCAGCACACAGAACTGGTAGATAATATATAGAAATCAGCTCTTGCTACATCCTTAACTTGAAAATTTGCAATATTTTTACCTTGGTGCTTATACATAATTGAAGACTAGTGATCGCTTACATTCTTGTCACACAATTAAAATTCTTGACAAATAAACAAACGCCACCTTTTAAAAAATGATCACATTAATCATATATATGCCAGACAGATTTTCTGTGAGTGACCAAAACTGAAAAAATAATAACTGGGACATCTTCAGTTGAATTTTCTGAGGTCTGTTCCTCAGTATTTCCTAGCAATCAAACCCAAATTAATATTGCTTTAATATTTTTGGTTAATAACAGTCTTCCAAGTTCAATTTCTTGAAATGCATAATTTGTTGCAAATATCCATACAAAACAAATCCTCTTAGAGATGATAGAGGCTGTTTAAAGTATTTAGATTAGGTTTGAAAAATTAAACAAGAAGGAAACCCATAAGTAAAAGAAAAGAAAAATTAAAAGCATTTGAAATGAGACCTTTCATATGAGGACTCCAACCTTAAAACATAAAAGCACTTTGGATTGCTTGTTTATTAGGGGTGAAATGAATCTCACATCATTTTTTCACAACAATTACAATAATAACTTCTGCTTTTAAAGCATTAAATCACTATACAGAATATTACTGTGGCTTGAAAAAAGCAAGCAGAAACCACAGACCAAATTTTAAGTTCCAAATGCAGTCATAAAATGTTAAGCAGGCAAAAAAAAACAACAAAACAACAGTATCAACAATTAATCTAGATGATCATATGGTGTGCCTCATGTAGCCAGACAGATTGCCAAACCAATTTATACTTGAGTTTTTTGAACTAATTGTTTTCAAAAAACATGGAGGCCAAAATAAGCAAAGAAAATAAATACTGCAACTCAAATCACATTGTGGTTCACTCCAATGACTCAACATGTACTGTCAAATTATTTTATATAATTAAATGATAATTATAAGGATACTTCTATTGTTACTGTCTTTTAAATGCACCCAAGAAAAGAAACTTGCTCTAAGTCAATATAAAATAACACAATATAAAGTAACTGTCTTGGCAAGAATTAGACATCTTCTCTTACACATACAGTTCTGTTTTGTGGTAAAAATTTCCCCATTTAGAAAGATAGTTTTACTAGATGTTTCTCAAAATAAATTTTAATGTTAGATACTAAAACCTCCTAGTTATCAAATAAAAATAAGAAAATCCACAAAATAAAATTGTGTAATATAATTTGCACCTAAATAAATGAATGAAAAATAAATAAGTCTAAAGAAAATCACTTAGATTACTCTGTAGATTTTTCCCAAACATAGCTACAGGGAGTTACAATCTTTGTTATACATTAATTCAAGAGAACATAACTGTTTGCATAAAAAGAAAAGACTAAATTAAGGAAATAAAAATCATTAACATATTTAATTTGAAATGGTCACTTACCTGAATTGACTAAAAAAAAATTGTAAGGCATCTCACAGATCTAACAAACAGTAATGAAAACTAGACCATTAATAAAGTGCATTTAGAAATGCTGCATTTAAAGTCATATTTTAAACAGTGTGTTCCTACACTCTATTGCCAGTGGTAAAGCAGAACCCAGTCAATATTAGAAGGACTTCTCAAAAGAAAAAGTAGTAAGCAGAGGAATATGACAACACAAAGTTGAGTCCATAATAAACTAAATATTTTTCTTTCTTAGAATCTATTAGCCAAGGAATTCAAACCATTAGCTGAAAAATAAAGTAACATATATTTGCAGTGAAAACACTTGCTTAAAACCTAATATTGTTAGGAAACAAAAATGCATTACTAACACTTGTTTGTACATAGCGCTGAAGATCATATACTGCACAAAATTAACACTTCTAGTATGCTATGAAAATATGAAATCATCGATCAGATGAATTGCAGGACTGTATGCAAGTTTCATCAGATTGTAGGGCTTCATAGTATAAGCATATGCATTTATTTTGTAATTAATCTACTTACAACTGAGTCTGCATCTGGACACTCCCTATTAAAAAAAAAAAAAGAAAATTTACAATTATAGAAGGCACAACTTATTATATTCACACAAAATTTCCTTCAATATTTTAAATGAATTTAAAACAGTGTATTTGACCCTTTTGCCTCTCAAACTCTTAAAATTTTTACTTAAAATAATCCACATTTAACTGAATGAAATTTAAATAATACCTGACAGTTTATGCTCAAAACACTGCAGAAGAAAAACTCAGAAGAAATTATGAAAAAACCAAACTCACATATTAGTGAAAAGAATTAAAAATAATAACAAAAATATCAAGGAAAGTGAGGACTACCACACTATGTTCTAGATGAATATACTTTAAGTTTCAAGTCTTCATGTTTGATGGATGCGATAAGCAGAAGTCACCAGTCCTAATGAAAAGAGTCTACCTGCAAGTGCAAAATGTTTTGACAAAATCCAGTTCACAAAGAAATTAAGATCTTCTTCAGAGGAATTCAGAGCTTCCTCTTTAGAGTTTCATTCTTAGTTTGTGTTTGTCAAGCACAGTTGCAGTTAAGTACTAGAAGATGCTGAACAAAATAACGTCCTAAAAAGCACTTAAAAAAAAAAAAAAAGTTGTCCGCAGGAAGGCAGTGGTTGCAAGCACATTATTCACAAGTGTTACACTTTTCAACTGCAACTTCAATTTGAGCAGTAGTACATAAAATAATGAATGACACTGATTCTCTCTGATGTCTTCAAAAAGCAGAAGCAATTACATTTACAGAATGTGGGAATACTTGAGTAGCATACAAGTCCTTTCTAATTTGCACGCTGACAAATCGTGATGGTGTAACTGAATAAAGAGTGTTTTTGTATCATTAGTCTGAACATCCTACACATGCATATATAGAAAAAAGCACATGGAAAAAAATATATTTTAATCTAAAACATCTCTGAAAAATTAAATGGGTTAAAAGCAAAAAATGTAGCTTTTACTACAGTGTGTTAAAAACAAGTGCAAAAAATTTGCTAATATGGAAGCATTAATACAAAATTCAGTAAAGCTTCTTAAAGAAATGACAATGAGATGAAGGACTCCATCTTCTCTGAAAGGCCTCACACAAGAGAAGACACATGTGATCAAATTTCTAGTTGCTTTACATCTTTCATAGCAATAGAGCTGTTCTGAAAGATATTTTACTGCTTGAAAAGACAAAGTATATTCTTCCCTTGAGAGACGTGGTTTCAAAAAGTGTCTGCATGCAAACAAGATAGCCTGAGGTACATGAAAGTTGAGAAATGTGAAATATGAGGCAAATGAATGAATATATTTCAGCCCGCAATGAAGGTTTCCAAAATCAGTGAGCTAATAGATCTCAAACAGAAACGGCAGATCTAGTATTACTCAGAGGAGTACTACCAGCATCTCTCAGGATTTGTTCTATAGATGAAAGAAAAACACAGCAGTTTACAAACATTGGTGGCGTGGAGAATAAGGACATCAAGCTGTAGATGAAAGTACTTTTAAATAACTAGATATACTAGATCATTCTTTTTAAATTAAAGAACTGGGTCATGCTTCTGCTATAATATTTCAGAAAATGGAGGTCTTATAAGGGAATTTAAGGATTGTAGATAAAAAATGAAATAACCATATCATGCAAAGTAGTGGTTAGTAGTGAAATCCCTGGCTACACTACAGCAATATGTAAGAGAATGCACCCTGTGTGGTGATTCCTTGAATTAAAACCATTACAAGACACACCGGTTCAGGCATCAACTGGTTCAGGCATCAAGATAGTTTTTAAACTATCTTGACAAACCAAAAAGCCTGCTAACCATGAGAGCTTTTCTAGATGTAGAAAGCTTGCCATACACAAACTAAACAAGCCTACAGACTAATAAAACACAAGACCAAGGCAGGACTGGTCTTCTCTGTGCAGAGAAGCTTCTGATGAGAATTTCATCATTTCCAGTCCATAAAAAGATCATCAGCTGAAGATTAAATCAGACAAAATACAGACTAGCAATCTATATCTCTAAAGAGATCATAAAAGAAGTATTAGAATATATTATGTAAACACATAATGAATCCTCTTTTATTTATTTGTGATGTTCTAGTTAATTTAGTAGTTATGGTTTAATGCAAGAATCTCTGTAAATGTGCCTATGGCACATTTAGGAGATTGATATCATGCCATTACACATTTTTCTTTCAGATTTCAGATTTCAGAAGCAAGTCTCTTTTGTAGAGTGTGTGAATATAGAAACAAAATACTATTAGCACCTGCTGTTCTAAGGTAACGAATTTTTCCACAGTATGTTAGAAAAACTAACACTGGTAAAATACTTTAAAAACTAATCTTAAAAAGTATTTATGCAGATATTGCCTCTGGGAATATTTCTGTATTGTCAAATTTGTCAAACTGTAAGCTGTCTTCTTGAGAAAATACATGTAGAAATTATGAAAAACATACACTGACCACAAATACAACAGACACTGTGACTAATTCACCTCAAAACTGATATTCAAACACACTTTTTGCACAGATTAACTCTGGGGAGACTGAGTACATGCAAAGAATATGGCATAGGGTATATTTGGGACATCAGTCCTGATCTGAAATGATGGCGTTTGAGAAGTGAGTGTGCTCATGACATACTGCATTTTTCTGTCCTTCGACAGTATATGTAGAAGTTTTTCTAACAGAAGAATACCTGAAGCTTCAATTCTGCAAACATAGCCATCCAGTACTTTTACCACGCACAGACATATTTTATTAGGATTAATGAGGACTACATTATCTACAACGCTGACATTGTAGAAAACATTGTAGAAAGATGAGTTGACTACTATGAATACACTTGTTACTTGGTCAAAAAAATTGTAAATAACTGTGATGCTTCTGTATTCATTGCATTCCTTTAAACTGCTGTTATAAACCCTTTTTTGTTTAAATATTGCATACTTTTTTATCCCCATTACTAGTTTTCATACCAAACAAGGCTTCAGGGTGGAAATATACTTACACAGATTCAGTATCTTTTTCTTTTTTCATTATTCCTGATAAACCAAAAGGCTTCCTTTTCCGTGGTTTTACTCCTATAGAACAAACACTTTTCATTTATAGATCAAAGAGATAAATGCATATTCAGCAATGTCAAACACAGATGCATATGAATCCAGTATTTTAAATGCTGCCACAAGTATGGAGATAGGTATGGAGCCAAACTAAGGGAACATTATTCCAATTTGCTTTAAGTGAAACATCAATTTAAAAAAATCAAAATAGGGTTCAACACATTAGTAATAAAATTCTTAAAAAACTGACTTGAATCTCCAAGTTGGGTATACAGACTCTGTTTTCTTTAATAGATAGTTTTGAGGAAGAGTACTCTGCTCACAAAAACTCAACAGGAGCTGTTGCTCCAGGCGATCCTGAATAGTGACGGATGAGAAACTGAACATTGCCTTCCCCACCTACTGCAGTTCAACACCCTGTCGTTATTTCTTCTGCCCCCTGTGCTCCCAGGAGCTGCAAGCTCCCTTCTTTCCTCAAAAGTAGGATCTCGGTCCTGTTAAAAATAAAAGTGTTTCTTGGATTTCCAGTTGATGTGAGTTCATGATTTCTCACTACTGTATCCAGCTCCAAGACTGGTTCTCACAGAGTTTGGAATTACACTTCTCCCCTTTTGTTTCTTCCCTGCTTTTAGCACTGGATACCTATAGCTACAGTACTGAATAAAGTACTTTCATTGCTTTCACTCCCACTTAATGGACTAAAACTAATTTTATACACCTAAACATTCCCTCAGACTTACTGCCACATCTGCTTGTTCACAATGTTTGCTGAGGCAAAGTAGACTGCCAAACAAAATGACTAAGTGCAAGCATCTGATCCAACTAGCCTACAATTTGGTTTTGATGCATGATTCTACTGACAGCATGCTTTTGAGCAGAATGGTAGAAATAATTTGGTTTCCAAAATTAAACCACTGTTAATTCAAGCACTTTATTATATTTACCTTTACAAAAATACGTTAAACAGCACATAAGGAACCTTTCTGCTCCTAGAAATTTTCAATAACTCCAAACTTCTCAAATCAGGTAGCTGTAGAGTCAGCAATATATACTGAGGCACGTAATTTTCTCCAAGATTATTTTTAAATGTCTGGGCTTTGTTTTTCCTCTATGTCTTATGCAGACCAAAATAATGGCAAATGAAGTATGAGAGTAATCTCTGAACATGGGTCCTCTCTGCTTCAGTTACAAGGGATTTTAAGTCTCAGCCAAAATCTTGGCACCTTAAAAAAGTTTTTGGATGCTATAACTTAGACTGCTGACTCCTCTGTCCCACAAGTAAAGACATAGCTTATGGACAGCAAGCAGTTCTTAACCACTTTAAACAATCCCCTAAGTAAAAAAAGCTGCACCAACAAAGAAAGACTTTGCAACTAGAACACTACATTGGGCTTAGTTTAACTGACACAGTAACAATGGGAAGAGCCCATTGTTTTGACACTTGCAAATTAAGCTACAACGCTCTGAATTCATAACTGAATCAAATCCAAACCTCTGCAAAGACAAAGTGCTAGCCAAAGTTTACTTGTAAGAAACACTCAAATTATCAGACCTTAATGCATTAGTCCTATAGAGGTTTTATAGGCCTTGATGCCCAGAAAGGCTGATCTGGAACAGAGACTAGACAGAGCTAAATGTAGAAGAGCCTGGCCAGGGCTACACCCAGGATGTATCCAAGATGGATCCTGGTCACGAGTTTTATACTTTTGTAAGTTTTAGTTCATCTACACATTGGGTTCAATTGTCCAATTACAGCTCCAGGTCTTGAAGTTTAAGCCCCTGGCTTGCTCTTCACCATTGTTTATGCTTTTTGGGTAATGTCCAATTGTCCTTGATTCTCTACTTGGGAAAGGATAGTTTTGCCTAACTACCCTGTTAAGCGAACCTAATAATACCTAATACGAAGTTTCAAAGGTACATACCAGGCAGCAGAGAATCTGAAAAATATAAAAGCTAAAATCCAAGGCATCAGTCTTATTGTCATTGAAGTTTGTTTCTCAAAAGAAAAACTGCATTTTAGCCTACTGGAACATCTAAAAGTTATACAGACTCACACACTGAGTACCCTTTGCTTCACAGTTCAGGTCCTAATCCACAGCATTCTTGTGTAAATAACTATGCTACGGCAACTCACCTTCGGCTACACTGGACGTGTTACACTCTTCAAACTCAATTGGGCCTTAAAGAAATGACAATGAAGATAAACATTAGGTCAAATTTAATATTTTTTAATGACAAGTAATATTTCCTGAAAATATGAGATAAACTAATTACAAATGTTGGTAGTAACTGAAAGGCACAATTACTCTGCCAATGGCCAAAGACACTCAAAATCACATACGTAGAGCAGTTTTTTCACTCCTTCATACTGAAAAATTAAAATACTAGTCGTCATCTAATTACAATTCAATTGCCTATATCTAATTGGTGTCCTCATTCAAAATTGCATTTATAATATAGCATCAGTGTAAGGCTTTCAATCTACCTTCTTTTAATGAACAAGAATGGTATAAGTAAAAATGAAAAAGGAAAAGCTATAGCCCTAATTTTGAAAGCCACACTTTTTCTAACCCTGCATTGCTAGTTCCAGTGTTTCCTCTCCACAGCCAATTGCCTACACAATTAGAAGTGGCACGTAAAACCTTAAACACAGCAATAAATAATTTTTTTTCAAAAAATCATTGAGACCCAATAGGACCAAGAAAAGAATACTAGCTAAGTTCTGGATTTAAAGAAATTCCTCACATTACATTTGCCACAAATTAACAGTCAGTTACCATTGCTAATTCATGTCCTAAGCCTCATTTATTCCTATATATTTCTAAACCTAGAATTTATTTAATCTCACTACGAGACATTTTAGGAAGCATGTATACAGAAAACAGTGTGAGTTTCTGTAGGATCTTGTTCAGGGAATGATAGAATCATACCAGCACTTGTGGAAGTGCAATGAAAACAGAGGGAGAGCACATGCAGGCAGGCACCTTTTCTTCCAGCCCATGTTGCATTACCTTGTATCTGTATCCACAGAAGAAAAAATTTAGCATGCTATCACTGTGCCACAGGGCTTATTACTTACCTTTCTACAAACATTATGATAGCATGGACACAAGTTTATGTACAGACACATTACAGATAAGACAGAGGGGAAAAATACTTTGAATGACTTCTATTTTTCTTAAATTATGATGCTCAAAGTATTAATTTATATTTACTGTATTTAAGACTGAGTTTGCAAAATTTTCCAATCAGTAAAAACAAATTTAAATGTTTGCAAAACAACAGGATCAGAATTTTGGACTAGAACCCATCAATATCTCACTTATCATAAAGTAATTGTTTGGCTTCCAAATGACACTCTTGAAAGCAGAGTATTAAGACATATCTCAATTAGCAGTCTTAACAGAACTTTAAATTTCAATTAGTAAATGACTTCAAATGCAAGTCTAATTATTCAATTCAGAAACTCATCCCTAAAGCAAAAGAAAGAACACTGTAAACACTGAGACTTTAATATATTTTCAGAGGAATAAAATATTCAGGCTTTTTCAGAATTCCACCATTTCTTTACCCTTTCTACTTTTCTTTACCCTTTCTAAGAGTGATCCTCTTAATTTTAAAACTTTTACACCAATGATTAAAAGAAATAATGAAGGCTCAAATACAGCTTATCCATATTTCAGATCAATATCTTAACCTCCACTTCTAAAATATGCAGATAGGAAAGATTTTCTTCAACAAGACATCTAAGTTCATCTATTTTTTTTCCATTATGCTTGGATAAAACACTTGCCTTTAAAAGTGAACTTTTTGTGCCTTGTAAGAATTTATATTTGAAAACACATTCTTCCTTTACTACAGAAACACACAGATATCATGTGAACCAGTTACAATTCAAAAACCTATTTTGGTAGTAACTTACCTTTCCTACTCAAATTTGTATAAAGCCCTTCTTCCTTTGGAATTTCAGAAATTCATTTCAGTGGCTGTCTCTATATAGCTCAGTTGGTTAGGGCATGGTGCTATTAACACTGAGGTTGTGGGTTCAATCCCTATGTGGGCTATTCACTTAAGAGTTGGACTTGATGATCTTTGTGGGTGCCTTCCAGCTAAGAATATTCTGTACATTCAGTTTGCCCTTTTGAATGGAGCAGAGTGAAATGTTTAACAGTTTTAAATTTTCTGACAAATTTTGTTCTGTAACTTCAGACCTCCCAACAGTTCTGCTCTCTATATGTCTGCCATAAAGAGTAACACATTTTGCCTTGGCCATAGTATTTTTAATCAAAGTAACATTTCAGAAATAGACATTTCCTTTCTACTATGGCACTCTATAGTGTACTAACTTAGAAAACAGGATAGCTGTGAGAAGCTTTCAATAATAACAGCTGCAGTCTCCTGTGGACAGATGTCTTTGAGTCCAAAGAGGTGATAATACTGCTGTCCAGCCAGAACTGTGTGTTGTCACCACACTGTCCTCTGCTAGAACCAGCTGCAGTCTCCTAGTCAGCCGTAAGGCCTTAGGCACACATATTTTTATAGGAGCATAGCATCAATAAGGAATTCAGATAGTTTCTTAAGAAGTTTTCCAGCATTGCCCACTGTCTGTGTAGAACATGGAAACAAAAGCAGCTGCATTAGCACTGAAAAAAAATTCCCACAAACTCTAAAAGAAATCCCAACTCAGAAAGCTTTCTCCTCTGCAACACCATAATGCATATCTTTATATTCCTTAATCAGAAGTCAAGAAGTCAGAAGTTACTATAGTCAAGAACTACAGGTGAATTGACATTAATGGAGATTGCCAGACAGATGTAATATACAAATAGAAGTTAAAACATGCAAACTTATGTCCTGGTAGCTCAATAACTTCTTTAACAACTACATGAAGTTTTTAAGGTGGACTTATAACCTCTAGGAGGCAAAAAGTTTCCAGAACAGACTTGTGCCCAATGACTGTACCGTAGACAAAGGCTTAACACCAACAAGGACTTCAGCTCAAAATCTGGATGATTACAATGGCTAAAATTTTTGATGCAAGTAACAGATTCACTGTCCACTGCAACATTAAAAGAAAGAAAAACAGTTGTTTCACATTTAAGAAGTAGTGTTGATGTTGCGGACTGACGTCCATGCCACATGATAGACTAAGGCACTGAAAGAACCATCTAAATGGTGACATACTGCAGTGCAGGTGATAATGCTGATAACACTGCTATTTGGCAGTACTGCAATCAAAGCACTAAAATTTCCTTTGCTCTTTTTCTCATAACAAGACAATAATGTGAATTGAAAAGGAAGCCCATTCTCAAGCGTTCATATCAATGCAAAACCAAATTCTAAATCTACAGCAGTACTGTAAAAAAAAAAAAAGACATTTCAAGACTTTTTTCAGAGTAAATAAAAAAGTTATAGCTGAGAACTAGTCCAATCCTTGCAAAGTTCTCTGATTTAATGTTCTGTTGCAATGAGACCACAAGTTTCGAAAGTCTACTCTCCCTGCTGCTATATTAATCCATACTTTGGTAACACTGGCTTTAACACCTCAAATACTTCTATACAGAATTGTATGTATTTGATACTGTAAATACACAAAATAGAAAAAAATTAATAAATACAGTGCATAAATGAAGGTTAGCCTTTGTAATAGAAAGAGACATGAGTATCTAGTGGGATTTCCATTACTGAAGTATATATACCTAGCTATCTGGATGCTAATGAGAAATAGTAGTATTCTACAAAGGAAGCAGACATTAAAATCAGTAAGCTCCTCTAACTGTACATAGAAATTCCTAGCAAGCATTACTGCAAGCTGCACTGACTTTTTGAATGCTCACAGTATTCTACCAGCTGGGACAGAATAAGGACAAGAAGAGAAAGCAAACAGAGTATGGTTTCACAAACACAGAGGCAGACAGCTGCTAATTGACAAGAGACTAAAGCAAATACACCAGGACTGGGTCAGTTCTTAGGCTTTTGAAAATAAAGCAGCTTTTGTTGGCTGTAACAGAAAAAAGTAATTTGTATAAATATAATTTATACAATAATATAATACAGTGTAATTTTTATTTTAGTTAATTTCATAATTTACAAGAATGGAAACTTACATAAATGAAGCACCAGTGAGTAAGAATGCATCTCAGAATGCATCTCCTAGACTGTTCAATAACTACACAAAATGCTTCTCTTGTTACAAGTGGCGTGTGAGTATGTGAGCTTTTGTGCCCCTAATGGTAGAGTATATAGCTAGCAATAAGGAGATAATGTTCTTATTGACAGACAAATGAAGAAGATGTAATTGCACTGTACATTATCTTACAGAATCTCCTACATATTTAGTTCACATCTATGGGAACAGTACTTTCAGAAAATATTCAACTACAGAAACTATCTTTATAACCAGTATCTTATACCTGCTACTAGGAAAAAAGCCAGACAAAACCTCTCCACAAAATCCTAGATACAGGTTTTCTAGCCTGTCTGTATAACTTCTACATAAAACCTCTGTGAGGTCTAGGAGAATGTTTTGCTAATGTCAAAACAATAAAATAACTCCCACTTTCCTCAATTGAGAGGAAAAAAAAATTACTGTTTGGATTCTTAAATAAACAAGTCAAAAGCAAAAGTCAGCCAATATTACTAGTAAGAAAAACATAATATTATGCCATACCCTGAAAAAGTGCCCCCAGTAAGTATATCAATGAACTGGAAAATCCCACAGAGCTAAAAAGTTAAACAAATCAAGAAGTCAACAAATCAAATAAGAACTGCTTTACATTTGCATCTGCTTTTGAAAACTGTGCCCTTTCCATCTTAAAGGGGGCATGACAGAAAGTGACATTATACTAGTACTAACTTCACATAATTCTCAGTAACCAGAAACACTCAGACCCTCAGAATACCCCCTGAAAACTGCCTTTGCCCGCAGCCTGAGGATTCAGTTTACACACATGTATGCATACATATAAACATTAACATATCTGTTTCAGCAAAATCTTTTAAAAATACTCCATAAATCTGTACCTGTAGATACAAATATAGTAACAAACCATATTCTTCTTTTCAACAAAAACAAAAGTTTGTCTGAGTGTAAATCATGCATGAAAGGAGGACAATTTTTTAAACTGCATATGCTTCACATGCTGCTTCAAATGGCAAAGCTTTGCGTGCCTGGCTCAG